TCTCCAATAATATAGGCCGCCATCTGGACCATCAAGATTCCACTTTTTCTCATCGGAAAAAATAATCTATAAACTAAAAAATATTAATAAAATTTTTTTTTAATATCATGTATTTTTCTACCGTGTTCCAGTCGGTGTAGATATGTTTTTCGACAAAATCAAGTCGAGCCACCTTGTGTCGAGGCAAAAGATGAGATGATCTGATCATTTTTGATATCTATATGTAATCACAACGTTGCAGAGCTCGCCAAACTATCGTTTTTTGATACCTTATTATTAAGGATAGCTGCCACGGCAGAGCAAGATTTCGCTGAGTTTGAGCATTCTCCTAAAACTTTTCGTTGTTTCCGCTTAGTGAGGGTTTATTTTCGGCCAGGTGATCGTTTTACATCGTAATTTTGAGGATTCCTCAAAAAACTATTGATAACGCATCGGGTCCTATTGATTTTTCTCGAAATTTCCGAGTCTGATAGGCCCATCTCCTTAAAAGCGATAATTTTCCCGCGTTCTTCAATTGTCAATATAGTACCACGTGTCATTTTACATTGTAAACGATTTTATTAAATTTTAAGTCCAAAAAAAAGCGTGCAGACGCTTTAAAAATAGTTTAACAACCTTAAGGAGGGACTAAAACTCTCCCTCTCGAAGAAAAGTAACGGTGCTTCGGCGATAGATGAGATTTTTTCTCAGAGAGCATTTTTTTTATCGTAAACAATACAAAGGAGTAAATAAGAAAAAAAAGTTTTAATAAACGCCGTTAACTTGGTATAAAATAAATTGTAAAATAAATTTTAAAGGTGTCGTATAATTATGAAACACACCTTAGTTTAAATATTTTTCTGACAAACCCCACCAATATACGCAAAAATGAGTTTTTAGCTATTTTTTTCTTATTTTTTGGACCTGTCTTCAGTTGTTAATTTATCCTTTAGGAATGGTAATATCCCTGCAGGAAACGGAATCAGTTTTGGACTATTAAAATACTAGTTGGGTCAAGAAGGTTAACTAGTTCAAGTTATGTCCATTTCCTTGTAACGAAGTGGTCCATTTTTCATATGCTTGTCGTCGGAAACAACTAGTCCATTTGCTACTAGTTTTGCACTAGTTACTGTTAACCAATTTACGGTTACAGCTGTTAAACTACACTGAAAAAAATATTTTCACGAAAAAACTAAAAATTAATATCTAAACCATCAAGTGATTGGATTTCACTAGTACTTGACGATGCCTAACTTGACGCTCTCCTAATTTAGTATCCAATTAACAGGCGCGTTCCTTAAAGAATTTCTGATAATTATTATGTAATCAAATACAGTAAATGATAATTAAATGGAATTAAAACAAACTTACTTTTTTTGAGGCAAGTCGCCCTCTCTAGGACTTGAACCCGGGACCTTTGGATTTGTAGACACACTAACTGATTGAGCCATACACGCATCACATTTTGTAATGCCCTAACAAGGTTTATGAATTTTAGTGTGGCATAATTCAAAAACAGTGATTTTTCACATATATATTGGCTTGGACAGATTAAACAAAGTTTAAAATAAAACTAAATCATCACCTAGCAAACAAAAAAAGAAAAAAAAATGTACAGAGACTGGGGATTGAACCGAGGGCCTCGAGTGTTTGATTTGTTTAGTGTTAAATTTCCCAAGACATTTACACTCTAGGCTATATTTTTGAATCATATGTGTTTCATTTGCAACTAGTTGAATTCCAGTTGCCTTTTAACTAGACCCTAACATGTATTTGCTCTACCAGTTAAATATTTTTAAGTTTTTTTTTGTCAGAAAGGTACCAGTCCGAGACAAGTTTATTTTTTACTAGTTTTGTATTAATCATTTTTTCGACTAGCACAAATTTTCTAGACCCTGTGTAGTCCAAATGCATTCAGACAAATTCCGGTTGCTTTATATTAGTTGTATAACTAGTTGTTTTATCAGACTAGTTCGCATTTTTCCTGCAGGGTTATTACTCTATGCTATAAAGCAGCGGTCGGCACACTCATACAATTACATTTTGTTTTATATTTGTGTGAGTAAATTGTACGGGGCGGCTTAACAGTGTGTGTGCGCAGACCGCTGTTCTACAGTATACGTGGAGGCAGCGCTCGAGCAGAACAATTTCCTATGCTCACTTAATAGGACGCTGCCGACCGCTGCTATAAAGACGTTGTAGAACGTCTGAGAGTGGAGCCTCCTTTTTGCTTGAAGAAAATCCGAGGGTCATTCAATGTTAGGCGATTTTCTCAAAAACTGACGACCTTAGCTTAATAATACTTTCTGACAAGAAGCTTAAATTAACGCCCAATAATAATGTTTACCGTGCATATTGGTACAACCTCTGTGAGGGGAGCAATAAAGAAAATTGTGGGGACACGATTTTTTGAATAGATTTTTAATATACTTCTAGAAGTCGGATAGGCTTGCAACCTATCTAGATCGATAAATATTTTCATTCTATACAATTTTGCACTTTTTGGCCCCCAGAAGCAGAAGAATTATTTGAACAAAATTATCAGCGTTGCACAGTGGGGCCTTAAATCCTGCCTTAAATCAGCGGAGCCCTATAGCGAATATCATTTGATGGGGTATTGTTAATAGCAATTAAATATCTAAAACAACATCATAAGATGATTTTTTTTTGGAAATTTTTTGTTGTAAAATTCTTTATAAACGTTGAGATCTCGGAAACTACAAAAGCTAAAAAGTTGAGATTTCCCACACATATTCTTGGGCTTCCTACGCAGCGCAAGTTTTTTTCAGCGCCACGCCCCTTTTAATGCCCACAATAGTCTACTAAAGATTTTAAAATGTGTCCTGCGCCCACATCATTAAAGATTTCCGAGAAGTATAAATGGAATTTGTTGTGTATATTTACACCTATCGAAATGTAGAAGACACTTTTCAAATCGGACCCTTAATTAAAAAGTTATGCGCAATCAAAAAAAGGTTATATATCTATCTCCCTCGCACTCCCTTTAGCCGAGTGACGGGTATTAGATAGTCGGGACACGAACCCGACTATAGCGTTCTCTCTTGTTTTAATTTAAACTCATTGTATTTTCATTAATATGTTTGCCTTTTATTTCTTATTATTAACATTATTACTTTATCACAAATATTTTAAGCATTTTTACATATGTAGTTAGTTACAATGATGTGTATATGTCTGTTTGGGGCTTGCCCATGCATGTATGTATGTACAACGATGGCCTCTTTGAGGCTCATAAAATAGTATTTGCTGATTTCGACATAAGGGCGTGATTCTACAGTTTTTGGGTTCGTTTAAAAATTTCCACTACGCGCACTCGATTTTGGATATCTACAGCGGGGGACCTTTGCCTATGTATAAACTTGGAGGAAGTTTACGATTTGCTCTACCAGATTGCCTGGATTGCTATAACTTTTACATTTAAACATTATGACATTACATTGATTTCACTAAACTCTATTGATGATTTAAGCTTAAATATTTTAGGTTTTTCATTACGGTATTCGTTAGAAAGTCAAGACGTACATATATCGAAAAGAATCGCCCAACTGATATGACAAACGTTTGAACACTTATAGTCGTTTTGCCCTTGTCTATGATATAGTTTATTTTCTGGTGGCCTTCAATGCGAACTTCTGATGTGCTAATGCCTTGATAACAATTGCCAATGAGCAGTACGATGATCGAAAGAGTCTCGCCTCTATTTGAACTGCCATTAGGTGGCCGACCCATTTAAGGGCCCATAAATAATATTTAAGAATGCATTCGTTGTGTGTGCTCAGGTCCAACTGGTTAATGTCCGTCAATAAGGTGTCGGAAGTGACCAAAATCGGGCCCATCAAATCGCCATCTAGAGCTGTAGCTCCGGGTCTTTTATCCCGGCTCGACCCGCATAAATCATTTTATTAGCTTATTAAAAACTTTTCCATTTATTGTCATCGTTTTGCGCTATCGTGCGCACAAATCCGTGCCCAGTTCTTGTTCTCCTCCACGCTTATTGTGCTCTATACCCATTCAATCGCTCGTGAGCTTATCATCGGGGCAGGGGATTCTGGATGGGGATTGGGATATTTTTCTAAACTTTTCTTTATTGCTCACTTGTTGGCTGCCTCCGCTGCGAATGTCTAATGGCAGTGGGGACCCGGGACTGGGATACAGCGGAGGATAATGGAGGAGCGGGGTCGGCTGCTGTGACCATTAAATTCAAATCTGCTGCTGTTTTTGGCGCGTGTTTAAAAGTTAAATAATGACCAGCACTGGGCACGCAATGGCGCAAGACGTGTCCAATATAACTTTTCCTTTTTTCGGGTCGGCCCGACTTTGATCTCGGCCTGCGACGGCAGTTCAAATAGTTGCGGCGGGCTTTTTCGGCTGGGCAGGAAGGGATATGTTTTTGGGGGATATGTCCTTCTCCTATTTTAACCGGGACAAACAGATTTAACAACGAGTTCGGGAGTGAGGGAGCTCTGCCCCCAGCATCTCGGCGAGTCCAGGGCTTGGAAGATTAGTTTCACCTTGGGGGTTGTCCCTTAAATTAAAGACTGAACTCGATGCACGGAGCTGGGAACAGGCTCCGAATTACACCAGTCAAAGGTATAGTATACAAGTACAACTACGGTTACACTTAGCTTAAACATTTACAAACGAACGGAGACACAGACACACGCATTACATATACATATTCGTACTTTAGCTACTCCTCTAAATCTAGTAATTATTCTAAGCGACGTTGCCGAACAGGTTTTCGATATGCAGGTGCGTTCAAATTAGTTGTGGTAACGGTTTGGATTTTAAATAATATCGAGATAGAGAAGCCAGAAGTTTATTAAATTTAACTACAAAATCTTGTTAAAATCTTCTTTTTTCAATCAGGGAAAATTATTTTATTCAGATTTTACAACGAATTTTTTTACAAAAGCTTCCCTTTATAATATTAATTTAATTTATTTTCATAATTTAAAATATTCGTTCTTAAAATCACATAATATTCTGATTACTTTAAACTTCCTTAAAGATTTTTCAAATTATTTCTTCATAACAAAAGATTTGATTTTAAATTAAAATTGGTTTATAGATTCTATTTGTATCTAAAGCTTATGTCACAAAGTTAAACAATTAATAAACGGCCATTTTAGATTTGAAATTTTTCGATGACATTTTTGACTATTTACTGTATTAAAATAATTATCCCTTTAGGACTCATTCAAGTCGGATTGTTGGAAATTGTAACTTATAATAGTAGTTTTATACTTGGAAATACTTGCAGCCTTGGCCTTCTGTATTGGTAAATGAAACCAAACCAGTTAAACTGAAAGACTTTATAATCTTTTTTTTGAAACTCTCCCCACCACTAATTTGACCGCAGCTCCACAAGACTAGTTAGTAGTTAGTTCGCTGTCACTTTGATTCGGCTGTGTTTTTGGGCTACTGCTGTGCGCCAGTCTTTTGGTTGGATGCCAGGATGCCAGGACGCCAGGATGACAGTCCTTAGACGCAGCTCTCTGGTCCTGGCAGTGTGTCCGTGATTATGTGGTTGCGTCCTGCCGCCGACTTGTGCGTGATGGTGTTGAGCTGCGACGGCGACAGGCTCGTGCCGGCGGCCATCACGGATCCCATGCCCAGTCCCGCTCCAGGACCCATTCCCATTCCTCCTGCTCCCACTCCGATCCCCATCCCCAGGCCCAAGCCCATGCCCTTGGGCAGCGTCATGTGCGCAGCGGGCGGCTTGTTGAGGCCGTAGTCTATGAGGCTGCTGGTGGTCAGGTAGTCGGCCAGGTTGAGCGGATCGTGGCCCCGCTGCGGGGCCATGTTGTGGGGCAGCGTGTGGTGCAGGTGGGCGGCATAGCCACCTGTTCCGGCGCCTCCGTTGGCGGCCATTGCACTGCTCACCGTGCTGCCGGCGGAGCTGAGGGTGCTGCTGCTGCCCCCTGTTCCCGCTGCTCCGGCTGAGTAGCTGGCCATGCTCAGGCCCAGCTGCTCGTAGCGACTCAGCGTGGGCATGGCGTCGTAGAGGAGTGGGGGGCCGTTTCCGCCCCGGGCACTGGCCACGCCCCCTCCCGCCGCCGGGTCACTCTCCAGCTTCAAGGTGCTGGACTGCGAGGGCGGGCTGTTCAGGTGCGGCGCATTTGCGTCCTGCAATAAACAATGGGTTAGCGAACTACATGGATGATTCCAAATATTGACATAACCGGTACTCACAAGGAATTTGTCTTTCAAAATCTTGAATGGATTTAACCAACTTGGATTTAAGGCGTAATATTTGGTTTTTTTTAAAAAGTATTTTTATAATTTGTATGAAATAACTGAATCGATAAAATCTAATAGTAGAATACCTTTTTTTATCAGTATAGGTAAATTTTACCAATAAAATTTTTTTGTGTGTTGGTATGCTTGAATCATACATTTTACATTAATCATATCGTTTTTTTATTACAGAAACAAATTCGATATGAAATAGGGCAATTCTACTTTATTTCATTTCGAATTTGTTTCTGTGTATTCGTTCTTCAATGTAATCAACGCAAACCGATGTCTTTACAAATATTTAAACTACGAAACTAACTACCATAAAGCGGTTAAAATAAATTGTTAAAAAAATGCTGATCGCTATCCACTCTTCTCAATATGTTAAAGAATTATATGTTTACGACATTATTATTTACTTTAATATATGTTCCATTTATTTAAAGTGCGCTTAAGCCCTTTCAATGAACAACAAACTCCTGTGGTACCGGCTACACAAATGGCACATTCAGGGGGCAACGCCTTCTCCTGGCCACTGGCACTTACATAATCCGTGGTTTTGTGGCCGCCAGTGCTGCCGGTCATGGGAGCGCCAGATGCACCACCGGCACCACCCACTCCTCCACCGGCGAATAAACCACTCGGCCGATTTCCCAGCGGCGACGAGGCGTCACCGCCAGTTGGAGCGCTCTTCTGGGCGCTCAATATGTCCGGCTGCTTCTCGATGCCCTGCTTCAGGGTGTAGGCCACCACGAGGCGCTGATGACCAGCTCCCGTTTCCAGGGGCGCCGTCACCGTCACATCCATGCCTGTCAGGAGTATAAAACATTAGCAAACCGCCTGGAAATGGGTATATCCTGGGGCTTCGAATACCCTGCAGGCCAGTACCTCGACCACTTCGAGAGTACTTTACTTCGACCAAAAAACGTAATTCTCCAAATTATGAGTCATTATTTAATTTATAAGATCAGCTTTTTGGGTGGCAGACGTTGGAGGAAATTATTTTACCCTCTGCAAGGATATAAGAACCTTCTCCATATGGTCATGCGAGTGTTGTAGTGACTCACCCAGGTGCTTGTCCTTGTCATCGCACATGTTCCGGGCTCCTTGGCCACGACGTCTGCGAACTGCGATGACCACCACGGATAGAACTGCTATGCCCACGGTGAATAAAGTGCCGGCTAGGAGGGCAGCCAGGGGCAAAATCGACAGGCCCATGCGACCATCTAAAAAAGCAGGGAATAAATGAGTATACGATTAGGACATTGCTGAAGGAGCTGAGTCTTTACTACATTCTTGCTTTCAAGTTCTAAGCGGATGGATAAACCCGATTTGTAACCAGTTTTATCACCATTGCAGGTTTATATGTTTTTTATATTTTATTTAAGTTTTTCTTTAAAGAAGTCCACTCTTCAATTCTACCCTATCCTCCTCTTTTAAGATATATTTGCTTTTAGTAATGTAAGCAATTGATTAAAACAAATTATTAAAACAAAATACATCATTTGTAAAATGTTGTTTGGTTGATATAACATTATTATTTTACTTCGCTTATTAAACTACTATTTAAGGAGAATTATTTATGGATATGCTAGTATTTTAAATTTACAATAGTACTTGATTTAAAACAAATATTTTAGTGTTTTTAAATCCGATTCATAAAAATAATAAAAGTAAGGAGAAACTGGAAACCTAAAACATGATTTTTAACTAAAATTGTATTACATTAAAATTTTACTAAATGAAATACTAAATATCCGAAGTGCATATTTCTAAAGTAAAATCGGATTTGCAATAAATCCCTTTAAGTCCAAAAGTGATATAATTGAGAATGAGCCACTTAAAATACAATTTGTAAAATAAAACACACGTGAGCAGCACATATACACGTTATTTTTCCCGGTTTCTGATGATGAAAGCAATATGCCAGTTCTTTGTTTGACTGAATTCGATAAATAGCCATTGGTCGTCGAGGGCCCAATAAACTGGATGCGGCGTTGCCCACTTGACTGCTGCTCGCCCAGCTCTTTTTCAGCCGAGCCAGCAGGCATGCCATCGCCTCTGCCCCTGCCACACCCCTCGATATCTATCCATATCTACCCATATCGGCGCGTATTTCCCCGCCCCCGCTATTTGGTGCCCATAAAACGCACGTCGCATGTCAAGTGGCTGCCACAGGCAGCGGTCCTTCAGCCACTCGCTCGCTTAGTTTGTTGTATTTGCGATGGCTTTAACGTCAGCGCTAAGCATTTCAATTAAAATCCGTTTGCCAGCTGGATTTTCGGGCTATTCGGGTAAATCGTAATTGAATATGCATTACAAGGCCGCACACGCTGCGTATACGCAACCTAAGCGATGCGACGCGCCGCCCGCCTTTGTATACTTCGTATTCAACAATTCGACATTCAACAAATCGTGCGCGCCTGCGGATATGCAACGCAGAATTTCAATAAGCAAACATCTGAACTGTCGAAATCAGGCAGCCCAAATACAGGGAAAATTAAATAAAATAAAAATGGAAATAAACCTAGGAAGCAAATTGTGTAAGGATAAAATAAATATAATTATTTATTATATTTTTTAGGTACTAAGTTTTTTTAAATATCTGACAACATAATCTTAAGAGCATTCAATAAATTAAAAGGAACAGTTGAAAATTATATTTAAGCAACAAGCCTATTAGTTTTCACGACCATGCCCTTTATAAATCTTTATAAAGTTCCAGTTTTATGCAGTAGTTACTGTAACAACCAACGACATGCTACCAACAGGCAGCAATGGGAAGGTAATGCATGGGTGGTGCAGACTGTTGCTAATTTATAAACCTGGACTTGTTGTCAGCCAAACGCCAAAGTTGCAAATCAATAAATATTCTTTGGCTGCTGCCGCTGTGCCAAATGTTGACGAAACTGCGCCGCTGGCGAAATTGCTCATTTATGCATGGCTGCGTCTAAGCGAACACATCCGTACAAAATACACATCACACACCAAAACTCCCGCCCACACACCCACTAGCCATCGCTTATGTCCAATTTGTATGTGGGTTGTAATTGCTGGCACATGACTTTTAAAAAAATACAAATGTATGCTTGTAGCTGTGTATCCAGCCGTACACCACATTCAAAATGTGAAAGTTAAAAGTTTTTGGTATTCCGATTTGTATAGTTTGTTTATCGAGTTTTACCTAGCTAAAAGCAATTCAGGCATCCTTTTTTCATGTTATTTAAGGCAATGGTAGCGGGTGCAATTCGTTGTATTTTAATAGTAGATTAACCGATTTATTATTTCTGATGAATATAAATTGTAGGGTTTAGTGATTTCCGTATGAATTTTTACTAGTCTAACTAGATTTTGTAGTAGTATTAAAGTGTAAATAATATACATTCATAATACTGAATTATTAGAAAACTTTTTAAAGTCCCTGCGTTAATATATCATAATATTTTTTAATGGAATAAATGCTTGAATATTTTCTTTCTTCTTGGTTTAGTGTAAGTGTGGTATGAACGCCGTTACAAACTTTTGCAGCTAGCTGTATTTGATTTGAATTCCACAAAAAACTATGGGAAAAGTGGGGCAAAGGGAGAACAGCTAACAAGCTGACGTATAACATTTTTAATTTTAATTAGATCGGGCTAAATGCCTGGCAATTGCAGCCGGCAAACGAACTCTGATTTAGGACAAGGCATCAATCATGGGACCTATTTGCATGGCCCGAATCCAGAGCGCTTAACTAATTTCCAAATTGGACACGGACATAAATACGATTCGAAAAGCTGGCTCCCTATTCATTTCTTAACGCTCATCCGAGCAGATAAATAAAGTGTTATTTAATTTTGGTATGCTCATATAGCGTTTAAATGATTTATGAATCGATGCGCAGATTGGCGAGCGAGTGAATTAAATTAAATGCCAAATTTATTCATTTTATTCAATGTCATGCCAGAGTGGGAATAATTCATTATAAATTCATCATTCCGTTTGGTACTCAGCAATACGATACCACATGGCGGATACGTAATTTACTATCTCATTTATGGCAGAATGTGAGGAATTGGCACTAAGACAGGGACACCTTTGCATGTGAGCGGGAACATTTTCGAATTATCCATACGTATGTGTAGGTATCCGTATTCTTATCCTCCATCCGCACTGCCGGCGACAAATCCCCAATCGCATCAGCCAACCCAACACAAAGGGCATAAAGGAATAAAAACCGAATCGAGCAATCGCTTGCCAAATAAAATGTATATTTGGCAACCAGGAAGAGGGCACTTGAAACAGAAACAGAAACTGAAACGGAGACCGACGACACGGCACACAAGAAGAGATGCCGAAAGAAAAAGAAATTTAATTTAAATATAAGCACACTGGCGTAATGAAATTTTCACACTTGTGCAAATATTTACCAATAAAACCACCTGGAATGGTGTGCCAACCAACTGGGGTCCCACTCTATGCACATGCCCCGACTTAAGCGGATAAGCCAGACAACCAACCCGAGAGCCGTCGAGCGAGTCACTTCGTGTGGGAACCAGGAGCTCAGTGGCTCAGTGGCCCCGGTCCACAGTCCACAGTAACCGTATCCGATACGGACCTCTAGGAAACCACCAGGCAAAGGAGCATCAGCAGCAGCAGCACGAGGAGGAGCAGGTCCTGCGTGCCACTCATAAGCCAATTGTTTGCATGGGCTTCATTTGGATGAGTGCAGGACCTGGCTATCCTCCTTCCGGCTGCGTCTTCTCATAAGCTTAATTCGATTTAATGCTCCCGTTTGAGATATAAATGATTCGATGAGATGATGAAAAAGTGGATTGGTTAAAATGTATTGGGAATACTGAAAGCACTGAGAGGAAATTCAAAATCAAGTGCGAGGAATATAGTACACATATTTAATAAGAATATTTATTTTATTGGACAATCTATTAAACCCAATTCTAAAATCTATTATTAAAAATTATGTTGATGGGATTGAAAAACGCAATTGCGAACTGAGTCTTAATAACCATAGATTGTTTAATTTATGTTTAATTTAATTTGCAAGTCAAGACTAGAGAGTGTTTTTTTTTCAGTGCTGAATTCCGCTTTCTTCCACCAGTGTAAGCCAACGTGCCCATGTGGGTTTTAAGGCAGGAATGCGTTTACACAAAGTAAGCATAAATAAAGAAAACGCTGTCTGCGTCTGGCGCTCCATTTCAAGGAAACAAGGCAGACAGCGGTATAAAAAGTGAAAAGTACAAAAAGTGGCGAAGAAAGGAGCTGGCTGTCATCTATTGCAATGGCGGTCACATTTCCCTGCCGCACCGCTCTTCGATCCGCCGTAACATATAATTTTATTTTATTTTACTTCACTTTCTGCACCGTTGTCTTTTGGGATATTGTATTCAGATAAGACATGTTTAATGTATTTTTTCTTGTCGTACAGTAATCGTTTATATTTTGTGCGCCTGGGCTTTGGGCCCGAGCTCGACGTGAGGCTGTATCAGAAGCTATAGCTCCGGTGTCTGTTCGGTTTCCGTTCCTGCTTTTGATACCTTGTTACCTTGCGACCACAGAGTGGATGTGTGTGCACTGTGCAAAAAATAATATATAGTCCAGACCTTTGTTTATAAACTCTCTTGCAAATATAAATAATTCAATCTTAAAAATATCAAAGTCGTAAAATTAAATTAATTTAAAAAAATAAACGCCTATACCTTTTGTTTAAAGAGAAAACTTATAAAAAGTATATTTCGAGTAAACTCAAAAATGATCATATTTTTGAAAAAGAAAAGATATAAATCATTTCTTGAATTGGTAATGTTTGAACATTGTTATATTATGTTTTGAACATTTCTCGCAGTGCATGTGGGTGTATGCTGGTGGAATAATGTAACTCCTGGGGAATCTCTGTGTGTCAGTTTAGCATAACAAGATATTTCTTTTCTCTGTTGGGGTTTTACGTTGCCATCGCTTTTTTGGCTAAAACATGAAATTGATTATATTTACATTAATGTGCCATCAAGTGTTGCCATTGTAAAATGTTTCTGCCGCCCATGTTTTCCCCCGCACCTCTGACCGATTTTATTCGGCTGTTGGCAGAAAAGCTTTTAGATTTACCAAGGTGCAAATATTGACACTTGGATAGTAGGTGGATTGCATGTACGGGCGTTGCATGTTCCCAAATTAAGTCGCCCACACACAGGGCCAATCGGCTCCTTCAGTCTCGTAACCGAGCTGTGATATAATACGCCGGATAAGTTGGCCAGCATTCAATCTATCCCACACTCGGGACAACGGCCATCTGCTGAAGCCATCCCTTCGCCATCGCCATCTCCATCTCCATGGGCTGGGCTGTGTGCCTGAAGCGCATTAGGAGATGATTGAGTGGATTTGTTGTTCATGGCGATTGGCAGCCCAAGCGTTCAAATATGCAATTGTGCAGATAAACATTATTGGCTGACCAAGTGCGGACAGAATTCGGAACATAAGTAATACATAACTCTCCGTGCGGTGCGTTTAATAATGATGCTGGTCAGGTAGTGTTGCCATTGGAATTGCTGATGCAATAAATACTTGGATGCTGGTGCATAATTCGCTCGTTATGGTATTCGGCTGATTTAATATGGGACAACAAATGCAATTTACCCGTAGTATCGGTGATGCCAAAACGATGGGGAATACAATTGTCAATGTCTCCTCAAAACAAATTGATTTCGGCCTTGCAAAAGTGTTGGACTAATTTAGGGATTTACCGGAAAATCATGCAAATATTTAAATGGTTATTAGAAGCAATCGTTTGCGGTTTCGAATCGCCGAGGTATTTTGATAATTTGTATATCTACAATACTGAAGTCTTGGACAGGCGAAGAATAATTTCTTGATACTTTTGTTAAGCTGCTTAAATTACTTTTCAGAAAATAAATTATAACAGGCTTAAATTTATGCAGCTCAAGCCCAGTACTTGATTTTGCTTACTTTCGAAGGGATATTAAATTATTATGATGTTGTTTGGTTCCCAATTATATTTGGGACAAAAGGAATCGGTCGGCATGCGGCAATGTTGCCCCTAACGAACTACACACAGATTGAACCATAAATAATTTAATTCGATGTACACAGAAGTATTGCTCCTTATTTGTATTAATGCATTGCAGGCAAGTCCAGAGTTGGTTAAACTAATTTCTATATTATTTTTATTTACCCATACGATGTTTAATAAGATTTTATCAAAATGCAAATTGAAGTTAAAAAAATAACTTCTTTGAATAGAATAGAATATGTTCATATCCTTTAAGGGTTATTTTAAAAAAATTTATCTTAAAGAAGCTAAGAATATATAAAAATTACTTTTGTGAACACCAAATTGATAACATTATCAATATTGTTTGGGCGTACATTGCGTGTAAAAAACGTTTTGCTGCATTTTACCAGGTACTCTTCCCCACTTTGTTCAACCCCTTACACACTCTCGAAAAACAAGCACTTTCACACTTTTTACCTCGATTGTCGCAAGAACGGAAAAACTTTTAAAGAAAATTAGCGTCAAAGTTGAATAACAAAGCATGAATAAGAAATCTTTGTGTCACTACTTTGGCCAGCCAGGGATGTGGAGTGAAGGGATGGGATTCCGGGGGATGAGCCGGGGGAAGTGGAGTTGCACTGTCGCCCCAGCGTAAACAAAACTCGTTAAATAAAAGAGCAATTGTACTAACAGCGGCAGCAACAAGAACCACAACAAAGAAATGAATGAAAGAAGGAAACTAAAACGGTTAAGCGGAATATGCAAATACTTGAATGACTTTTTAAAGGTGAAATGGTGCTTAAAAAGCAATGAATGCTCTGGTCCTGGTCTAGGGAAAGTTTCCCCTCCCAACTCCAACTCCATCTTCTCGCCTGGGAAAACTTTGCAGTAGTTTTCCCCTCATTTTTTTGTACACCTACCTGAACGCTTGTCCGCCTCATTGATGGGCACATTCTCGAGGACAATCGGCTCCGAGCGGCCTTTCTGATTGACGCTGTAGACGACCAGGTGCAGAGCAGGATGGGCATCGGGATAGTAGTCCATGGGCATCAGATCTGTGTGGGGACAGGGAAAAGGAAATTAATTAGTCCCGTGATTAACTGAAGGCCAAAGTGATTAACTCCTTTGCTAACTCAGAAAGATTGTCCTGAAAAGCAGAGGTTGTTCCCAAAGAAAGTCTAGGGTTTGCTTTTTAGGTTGCTTTCACAGATGAGATCCGAAAGCGATTTGAAATAACAAAAAAATGTGTAAAATAGTATATATTCTTCAGATTTTACTATATTCAAAACATACTAATGTATAAATTGCAACCTTTTAAATTATTTAAATTCCATAGAGACTAACTAAATTATTTGTACTTTTATTATATTTATATTATTTTATATACACTTATCTTGAATTAATATTTAAAAAAATAATAACAAATAGTTTCTTTTGAAATTCATTTTAGAATTTCATAGAATATTTTTATATATTTTTTATAACCTTTTCATAAGCGTCTAACGCTTTATATAAATTTGTTTGTTTTAGTGCAATGATGGTCAGGTCATCTTTGATCATTAATTTAAAACTTGTAGTGCTCTGTGCAAACTTCATTAGGCAAACAGGCATTTAATTAGCACGTCGCGGTGCGAAACTTCGGTCGCATAAAATGAAAAGTTCCCGGCTGCGTGTGTTTTTCTCCCTCCAGCCCTGACGCGGTGTTTTCTGATTTTCCGATTTTCTGTTTTTCCGTTTTTCTGGTTTTTCTTAATGCGCGCATCAAAAGTTTTGTTTGTGCTCGTGCTCTCCTTGCACCGATAGCAGCTCATTAAAATGGCAACTACTGCACAAGGGCTTGCGAGGTGGTGGTGGCAGAGGTGGGGCGTGGCAGGACTAATACGCATACATTGGCAGGCCGCAGGAACAAAAACACTTGGTGGGAGCCCCCAAGCACCCCCAAGCACCCTGATCTACCCCCTCCAATCCCCCATCAGCGTCGTTAACACGCCTGTCTAACTAATCGTGACTTTACGCTTCGTTTGACTTTGCAAATATCGCCGAAACCCCTTAACCCCGAGTCATCGATGATATGCTATGGAGCTGGCTGAAAAAGATGCCACTGCAGCACGGGGAGCAGGGATCAGATCTCGGGCCATCCCTCCCGTTGCCAAGTTGCCAACTTTAATAATCCGAAATGTGGCTCATTAACTCGCCTCATACCCGCAGAATCAAATGTAATATTATAATTTTCGGCTCCCTTTTAACCCCCATGATAAATCTTGCTTTTTCAACAGCTCGATTCGAATTTTCTTCTGCCTCGTGGCCAACCACGCCCCCAAGTCATCCCATCCCCGCACCCCTCGGCAGCATTCTATTTCATCCAATTCCCCACCTCAAAACGCCATTGGCATAAAAGTTTTGCTGACTAGCTAAAATTCATTACAACAAAACAGGCAACAGCATGTGCCAGCAATGGTTCAGGGACAAGAAAGTGGGGGAGTTTGAGGTCCTGGCAGCCTCAACTAATTAATCTGCGTAGTGCTGGCTGGCTAGCTACACAAAAAAAAAAAAAACGCTATAGTCGGGTTGGTGTCCCGACTATCTAATACCCGTCACTCAGCTAAAGGGAGTTCGAACGCTGTACTCAGGTTGGTGTCCCGATTAATAATCGTAACTTAGATAAAGGGAGTGCGAGGGAGATAGATATATAAGTTTTGATTGCGTATAACTTTTTAATGAATGGTCCGATTTGAAAAATGTCTTCTACATTTCGATAGGTATAAGTATACACAACAAAATTGCATTTATACTTTTTGGAAATCTTTAAAGATGTGGGCGCAGGACCCATTTTAAAATCGTTAGTGGGCGTTAGAGGGGGCGTGGCGCTCGGCTAAAATAAACTTGCGCTGCGTAGGAAGCCAAAGAATATATGTGGGAAATCTCAACCTTGTAGCTTTTGTAGTTTCTGAGATCTCAGCGTTCATACAGACGGACAGACGGACAGACAGACAGACAGACAGACGGACAGACGGACAGACGGACAGACGGACAGACGGACAGACGGACATGGCTAGATCGACTCGGCTAGTGCCCCTGATCAAGAATATATATACTTTATGGGGTCGGAAACGCTTCCTTCTAGCTGTTACATACTTTTGCACGAATCTAATATACCCTTTTACTCTACGAGTAACGGGTATAAATATGATGTTTGGCCATAAGGCATATACTTATATTCATATCTTCTTTAAAAATTATGAAATGTGCAGATAGATGTAATAATTTTAATTTAACTGGCTAGACGTTAATATTATTTTAGCTTATTCTAGTAATTCTAGCTTTTTGAAGCCATTATAAAAATAAACCCACAAATTCAAAACTAACTAATTTCATTAATTAAATACGTTATTAGTTTTTTTGGAAACAATTTTTAGGACAACATTTTGTGTGCAATTTTTTGGGAAGTTTCATTTTTCGATTTTGTAATTTAATTTATATCCAATATAGAGGCAATTAAATTCTCATGGATGGCATTAAAAGACCATATAAATTTAATATTTAAAAAAGTTTAAAAACTATGCTGCTACTATTTTCGCTCACTGCAGCTATTCCTCTTCCCAGCCGCAGGATTTTCTCCTTGTCTTGAAGGCAACGCGCAATTTCGCCAGCTCAACTTTTTGCTCAGTTTGTTACTTTGATTTGTTTTTGTTTTTACTGTTTGCCCTGTTGTTGCTGCTGCTGTTGTTTTGTTGCTCCTTGTTGCTGGCCGCATAAAAGTCAAGTCTTTAGTTTGCGGCTTTCGCACAGCACTGTAAATATTGTACCGCCAACACCCTGGGCCTCGTGATTTCTAAGCCAACCTCATTTAAATATAATAATACATAAGCATCGTGTAATAAAACATGGCTCTGGGGCTGTGAGAATCTGCGGAAATATTGGATTTCCCCGGAACCATTAAAGGCCAAGAAATTGAGTGGCCCGTTTAACGGACTGCTGAAACAAGTGGTGTACGTGGAGATTTTTAATTTCAAGGAATCGGACAAAAACATTTGTTTGATTTACATTTAAAATCCACAGAAATAGGGTAACTGTAAAAACATTTGTAAAATTATAGAAAAAATGCGAGTCCAAATTTTATTTGAAAATAAGTTAAAGTTAACTTCTTCTTTATTATGAAATAACTGGAGCTCAACAAAAAGTAAATATTCAATTAAGTTTCGAAAAGTCATTTTAATTCACGTATTTATAAATAATTTTTCTTATCTAAGCCTTTTGAACTTTTTTTGAACGGTACCTAAATAAGACTGGCTTAGCTTCTAAAAAAAGTGTAATTTACCTAATATGTAACAATACCACTAGGACATTACATTCCATTTGAAGAAAACGATTTATTATTTTACATCACAGCTCAACCGTAAATAGTTCAAGTTCCCAGCAATTAAACGTTTTCCCCCAGAGTAAAGCCATAAATAAAGAAACAGACTCACCTGATAGATCGATCCGGAACACCGGCACGTCAACATAGGTGCTGCTCATGTTGAGCCTCAGTTTCTTGGTCTTCGAATCGTAGGCTTCCAAGAAGAACTGCTGCTGCAGGCCGCCGTCGTAGCCGGGCATGCACTCTAGTTCCATGGTGGAGTAGATGATGTTGTCGTAGTTGTCGAAATTTATGGTTCCGCCGCCCGCAAAGCCGTCGTGTCCGCTCCCGCTCCCGGCCCCCGATCCGCCCAGCAGACTCTGGGTGACGACTCCGTTGCTGAAGCTGTACTCCATGCGTGAGTAGTCGAAATGAGGAAGCTGCCATTCAGCGGCGGACTCGGTGGCTTTGTCCTGGATGTGAGGTCCTTCCGTTGTCCTTTGAACGCCGGTGGTTGTGGCCGTGGTGTCGGATGTGGAGAGAGCCACGCTGGCCACAAAGTCATCATCGCTAACATTGTACATATCATCGACCTCGCCATCGTCATCGTCATTGCCAGCCTCCTCCTCCTCGACATTGTCCTCCAGCGACTCCAGATCCAGTTGCTCCTCCAGGGACAACATGTGAACGTGTTTCGGCTGCCCATCCACCTCCTCTACGGTCTCGTACTCCTCCAGGTCGCTGGGCACAGGACCGTCGGCCAAGTAATCGGCATCGGTGGGCAGCTGGGCAACGTCTTCATCCAGGTCTGCATCGTCATCATGGTCCCCTGCCCCTCCATTCTCGTCCTCCTCGTCGTCATTAGTCTCAGTTTCAGCATCCATCTCTGCCCCATCATCATCATCATCGTCGTCGTCGTCGTTTTCATTTTCATTTTCGTGTTCGTCCTCGTCGTTGTTGTTGTCAGCGGAGTCTTCCTTGGAGGACGTCTTGTCCTTGACTCCCGCTCCCGCTGCAACTGCAACCTGGGCCGATGTTGCTGCTGCTTCCTTGGCATTGTTGCCGCTAATTGCTGCTACCGGCTGGTTGCTTATTTGCGGGGCATTCGGCGGCAGCAACTGTTGCTGCTGCTTCGGCTGCTTTTGCTTCTGCTGCAGCTGCTGCTGTTTGTCAAGGATGGTTAGGGATTTGCGAGACCTCTTGTTGTTGCTGCTGCTGGCGGAAGCAACATCCTGCTCGATTTCCACCGCCACGGTGGCAGTGGCTGCCAATGAGGTGGATGCCGAGGAGGATGATAATGATGCCGATGTGGCTGCTGCCGCCGCAGTTGCCAAGATGTCATTTGCTGCCAGCCGTTTTCTTCTCCTCGAACTCGAAGTTGCATAATGATGGATTATATTGCTGTTGTGCTCGTTTGTTTCCTTCTGCTGTTGCTGTTTGTATTGCTCTTGCTGTTGCTCTAGCTGCTTCTGTTTGTGCATGTTTTTCTGTCGCTTATTAAAATACTTTGCTGGCAGTTTGCCATTGTTACTGTTCCCGTTGCTGTGGATGTTGCTGCTGCTGCTGCTGCTGCCTTTGCCTACATGTGACATTGATAAATTTGATTCTGCCGGCTTCTGCTGGCTGGTTATTGATGCTGCACCCAGCTGATGTTGCTGCCGTCTCTGCGGGATTTGGCTGGCACGCCGCACTCGCTGCTTTGGCGACTTGGCCGGCGATCCATCAGGTTTGCTATCGCCACCGGACTTGCCGGCAGTGGCTTGGTGTTGCTGCTGTGACTGCTGATGTTGCTGCTGCTGCTGCTTCTTCTGCCGCTGCCGCTCGATAGCTGCCAATGTCTGCGACGGTGTGAATGATGTCCGCTTCTTGAGGCGCTGCAATTGCTGCTGACTGAGCTGCTTATTATTAGATTTGGCCTGGCCAGCACTTGTTTTGCCCCCCATATTTTTATTGGCCACATTGTTCCGGGCAGTCGCATTCGCATTCCCATTTGCTTTGTTGCTGCCACTGCTGTTATGGCGCTCACGTACGTACTCCATGTGCGGGTAATTCGACTCGTGTCTGCCGTATTGTGTGGGCAGCATTTGATTGGCGTGCATTGTCGTCTGATTCGATGAGTTCAGCGAGGCGGAGGTCACCACATACGGCCGGAGTGTACAGTTTCGCAGTGCCCCCGGCTTGGCTACAATGATCGAGTAAGCGAAACCAATCAATGGCAAACAAGATTCAAAGCATACATATTAAGTTGCAGAAATAAGTCTCGTTTGAAAAGTACATTGAATCAACCTAAGAAGCCCAATTAATATTGTGCTTACTTTTTTTTAACATAATTAAAAAACAAATTGAAAATTATTGTTGCTGCAAAAAAGGGTTGATTTACAACGTTAAAGATTTACAAGAAACGATGATCTTTTTTTAGCTTTCGCGACAAAGGGCTTCGCAAATGGAAAGATATGATATTTAAAATGTTGTATTAGTTAAAAAAAAATTAATTTTACTATAAATAAACGAAGATAATTTTTGACGATTTAAATAAAAATTAAAATTTTAGTAATTAAATCTTTGAGAAAATCCTAAAAATTCCTGTGACTGCTCTCTGCCTTAATTCATCGACGGGCGGCACTTGAACTCACCTGCTGGCACCACCTGGAACACACACGGCTCAGACTGCTTTCCAATGGCATTCCGGCCGTAACAGGCCAAGGTTCCGTAGTCCCGCTCTCCTTTGGGCGTGTAGATCAGTTCGCTGACGGTCTCCACTGCGAATGGAATAGAACGGAATATATAGAATACAGGTGTAAATTGCAATTCAGTTTCGACGCTTATTAAATTGCCCTTTTCGGCAAAGTTAAATGAAATAAGTTCTGCTCGCCCGAGCAGCTCAGTCAAGCCAACTGGGACGGCAGCAGATAATCCAATTTGCGACCGTGCGGTGCGAGTATGTGCATGATATTGATAAAAGTCTGCCGCCGCCCACAGCCGCCCACCTCTATTGTTCAGTTATATAGGTGTTTACCACCCCTGGCCGAACATAGGCCTCTGCGAAATGTTAATTTCTAATGCCTGCTCAAGCGCAAGCACATGCAAATGTCTCTTCATTGCATTTGCACCATAGGCTGGCTCTAAGGTCGCCCGGAGATGGCAGAAACTATGGTCTGTATAGTCTGAGACTTTAAGTAATGCACGGCAAAAAAAAAGTGCAATATAATAATACTGAAAATATTTTTTGAATTGGCTGTCCTTTTTCTATTAACCCATAAAAAGATTGTTCTTGATTATCTTTTTTTATAATAGATTGAAATTGCTATGTAACATCAAGCTTAAGCATGGCTTTGTTATACCGAACAATTTATAATGATTTTTATTTTCAATTATGTTTGCTTTTTATCTATATTAATTTGCAGTGTATGGACTCACCATAGCTCTCGAAGTGCGTCTCGTTGGACTCGACGACGGTGCGCCGGACATCGCTGGTGGTGGTCATGGTGGGGTCCTGGATGGTGGCGTAGTGGCCCGAGGGCACCTCGAAGTGCTCTCCGCTGGTGGAGAAGGTCCATTCGAAGTCGATTTCGGGCGGATCCGAGTTGACGCGGCACGGAATGGGCACGGCCTCCTCCAGGGAGGCCCCAATCACGGTGATGGTGCTGCTGCTGCAGACGGGCGCATCTGTTGGCGACACGATTGAGAGATCGAATTTAGATTTCGAGCAGGATGGGGAAGGGCGAAATGCAAAATAATGAGCAGCTGCAATTGTCCGATTGTCCTCTGTCTATATCAAGTATTTATATTGCAAACAGTCTGCTGACAGGCCGGAGGACGGGGGTGAGCCGGGCAAATTGACAGCTCAGATTTTCAATTTAAACAAAGCAGCTGGCGTACACTTTTTCCTCAGGTATGAGTCTAAGTTTAAACTCGCCATCTTTAAATTTACGCTTAGACAAGATGTATTAAATTACTGGACTTCTCATACAAGATATTAAGAGACTAAAATATAATTTATATCTACACAGAGAAAATTATCAAAACTTTTAGGTGCAAAATAAAAGGTGAAACATTTAAAAAAGTAAAACGTTTCATACAAATTTATTTTACTTTGCATTTTTAAAACGTTTTCGTTTTTATTTTTAAAACGTTTTTATATGAAAACGGCACCTAAAACGTTGTATAATTTTCTCTGTGTAATTGATACCTATATTTGAAACAGGATAACAGTCTAAAAGGTTATTTGATGTGTAAAAATGTTTTTAATATAACATTTTGATTTCTAAAAGGAATGTTCTTAAACTTAAGCTGCATCAATATTTAAAGCCCTAGTCCTTAAGCTTGAAATAAAATTTCCGCAAAAGTTTCGTCATAGCTTAAAGGTGGCGTACTCCACCCATTTGACTCATGATTTATTCAAAGTAAACTCATTTTGCGTTTTTGGTTACAAACGATTGAACTTGAAATTTTATGTCATACACGAGGCATGCCAAAAATGTACCCTCGCCTCCCCGAAATTCCCATGCAGGGAAAAAACTTTTGCTAGCAACTTTTGAAAACTGCGCCAAGTGTGCGATGTGCGTGGCATTCTGTTCCTTGTTTGCCCTGTGGCAGCGGAATTCTGTCATAAACAACCCAACAACAAGGCAGAGACAAAGCAACAACAGACAACAACCAAAACAACGCGGCAGACAACCCACACAACACTCTAAGCACCTGAAGGCATTTATTACCAAAGCCGCAACACTTTTTTTTGGATTTTATTAAAAATTATTCGAAAAGTTAGAGTGTGTCGCGACGTAAGCAGAAAATCGTGTAATGAGTTTATATACAAATATTTGATGTGGGAAAGTGTTGCATAAACTATGTATAAGTAAATTATTGGTTGATAGAGTTGCCATTTTAGGATTGATAGGATTAGGAAAACGTTTCTAAGTCGTAATAAAGACATTTTTGGCTTTGAGTTCAATAAATAATTTAACATTTTAATTTACGCAGCAAAAGCAAGGTTTTATAATAATAAATATGTGCCTTAATATTTAAGATATGCAAAAAAGATTAAAGAAAATTGTAGTATTTATTTTGTGCAGCAGAAATTTCATTTTATTATTTCCCTGTGAATTCAAACTTTTAGTTATTAAATTCCAGCTTTAAGAGGTAGTCAAGATAAAGCCATAAAGAAGACATTTAAAGATGCTTCATTTTCCTGCAATCAACTGTTTTAGTCTACCCTCCACACCTTGAAGTCCTGCCATTTTGCATCCTTCTCATTTGGGTTTCATCTAGATGTCGCTGGCACTCGCACAATTCTAGGCTGGGCCTTGTGGCCAGTGCCAATTCCCCGGAGCACAAGGTGCAATTTGCTGGGAAACTCCAGCCAAGAACTTCGCATGGTCACAAACCAATTAGATGGCCAAAGCGGAGGGAAAACCACGGCATTGTTTGCAGAGCAACGACAGAGCCAGTCGGAATTTTGTGAAAATTATGAACTCGAGCGCATGTCATATTTCTTACTATGCAAATTGGGAAAAGCCATGAATCTGCGGCATAAGAACGCAATTTCGGATTATTATAAACATCTAGAGGGATAAAGCTGCAGTTGATTGCTCCATTTTACGATCCCATGAAAGCAGTCCCGTCCTTGCACTCATAATACTTTTATGACGGCGTCAATTTCGCAATCGTAGAATGTCAATTTTAACCTTTGCTGATTAATTTCTGCGAAGATATGAGCGAACTGCTGGCAGCCATAAATCAATTTATCTCAATCGTGGTTCCACAATAAAGAACCCCCGACCCCAGGCATATGGGGCTCCGCTCTATCTGATCCCGCCCTATCCAAACCCATTCCGTATCCAATCAACCATCAATCCATCCACCCATCTGTATGTAAATGTTTACGTGGCGTATGCGCGATGCTCGTGTAAATAGCCCACGTAGTATTTGCACAGCAGTCGGTGGCGGTGTATGGTGTATCCTTATGCATTGTACTCGTATTTACTTTCAATTATCGTAATTATCAAAAAGGGTAACGGACATTGGGCTTTGGGTATTGGGTATTCTGAATTCCGAATTCTGTATGCGGCGGCGTTAACGATAATGGCAAGGCAATGCAAACGTTTGCTGATGTCTTCGTTTTTCGTTTTTCGCTTTTCATTTCGATATTCCTTTTTCGCCTTTGTTGCCCGTTGTTTCTCATTCATTTCGATTTCATATCCCCCATGCTGATGCTGCGTAAATTTTGTTTAACTGAACTCCACCAGTTGTAGCTACTTATTTGAGTTTGGAGGTCGGAGTCCCAACCAATTCAATTTGGAAGCTGTGCAGCGAGGCGCTCAAATCGGGGATAATTACATGTTTTTCTGGCTTCATAATTTGGTCTGTTTACAAGCATGGGAAATTAATTAAATAATATTGCATAAACTGCCTCACATGATGATCATTATTTGCTGGTTAACTTTAAACTAATTACAGAGTGCTACACATCTTCAACACACGGGCTAAAGTTTTGTATATGCGGAGCAAAAAATCATTGCAAATCGTATGGAATAACAAATTTTAAATTAAGTTTTTTAAATTTTAACGCATATACCTCCATGGGCTGGCGTTTAAAAAGACATGTTTTTCCTATTTATACCCGTTACTCGTAGAGTAAAAGGGTATACTAGATTCGTGCAAAAGTATGTAACAGCTAGAAGGAAGCGTTTCCGACCCCATAAAGTATATATATTCTTGATCAGGGTCACTAGCCGAGTCGATCTAGCCATGTCCGTCTGTCCGTCTGTCCGTCTGTCCGTCTGTCCGTCTGTCCGTCTGTCTGTCCGTCTGTCTGTCCGTCTGTCTGTCTGTATGAACGCTGAGATCTCGGAAACTACAAAAGCTAGAAGGTTGAGATTTCCCACACATATTCTTTGGCTTCCTACGCAGCGCAAGTTTATTTTAGCCGAGCGCCACGCCCCCTCTAACGCCCACAATCGCCCATTAACGATTTTAAAATGGGTCCTGCGCCCACATCCTTAAAGATTTCCGATAAGTATAAATGCAATTTTGTTGTGTATATTTATACCTATCGAAATGTAGAAGACATTTTTCAAATCGGACCATTCATTAAAAAGTTATACGCAATCAAAAAAAATATATCTATCTCCCTCGCACTCCCTTTAGCTGAGTTACGATTATTAGTCGGGACACAAAGCTGAGTGACGGGTATTAGATAGTCGGGACACCAACCCGACTATAGCGTTCTCTCTTGTTTTATTTTAAAATTTAAATAATGTTGAAGTTTGAAATCCCAACCAATTAAATTTGGAATCTGTGCAGCCGAGCGGACAAATCGTAGAAAATTACATTTTTTTTAGTTTAATAAACTAACGATGCAAATTCAGGCTTAAATGGCATCAAAATATTCATTTAACCGGGCAATTAATTAAATAATATTCGTTAACCTGCCTTGTTTGCATGTGGGACTGCCACGCTTTTTTGTTGCATTAAAAATGCAAAATAAAAATTGAATTTCCCCCAGCGCACCTGCTGAATGTGTGTGCACTCGCCTGACCCACCTGCCTGACCAGCGCCCCGTCCGCCTGACCTTTCCCATAATTATAAATGGTTTAATAATGACTGTGAGTTTCGATAATAAAAGCAGATCATTCATTTTTATTACCCGCCCGGTGAGCCCGCCCCCAGCTGACACGTTAAGTTCGGGGGCTAAACTTTTGGCCCCGATGGAAATGCCGGACGGTTACTTTATGAAAGCATATGCATATTTATGCACAGGCAAACACAAAAGCAAACACAAACACAGCCCCGGACCCCCACACAAATGCTGTTTGGTATTTAAGCATCATTAATTATTTAGAAATACAGTCGGAAGTAAATGCTCTATAGCGGTAATTGAGACATTTTCAATATGTGCACACAAAGGCTCCGAGCGGCGTTTATCGGTCATTTATTTTTGTGTTGTCCACAAATTATAATTACATACACTTTTGGCCCCGAAAGTGTGAAAAAGCCCATACTTCGGTTTGACTCCCAGTTAGTTTGCCTACGAATAATAGAACTTCACGTCAAATCAGAGCTGTGACAATTAGAAATCAATTGAGTTATCACTTGTTTGGTTTCAGTTTACACTTGCGGCCCGGGTTTGTTATCAAGGAGCAGCCTGTTTGACTCCGATGGTAATTGGAGTCCATTAAAATGGCTGGGGATTCCACAAAAGTGTCAATTAAGTGGGACAGAGCCATGAGAACTATGACAGGTGTAGAATATTCTAGCACACTTAATGTGGAATGGCCTTAAATTAAGTTTTATTAGAGAAGAAATTGCCGCTTCTATGATTTAACCAGCTATTGCGAACTAGTCTTCGTATGGTTTTTGAGTGTATCCCATTTCAATTATTTCCCTCCACTTAATTGTTAAAATAATGGGCACAATTTACCCCAAGGAGCTATTTTATTTTATATAAATAACAATAATTGGATTGTTCAGAGAACCCGAATTTTGATATGCCCCGAAGAGCTCTTACTAAATTTACGTGATGGCAATGCTTAGAAATTTAATTTAAATTATGAAACTGCCAAAAGCACAGACACGAGCTCTATTTTATTTGTTCAAGATTTTCAGCTATTTTGTATATACAGAAATAATTTATATTGTAAAACAGCCCGTAATAAAGCGAATTAGATAAGTTATAAAATGAAATCCTAGGTATTCTAAAACACGCGATATAGAGTATCGACCATATTTCCGGTGAGAAAATTTGAATTAAAATGTGTGCAAACAGGCACTCATATTTGGGGTTTGGCCAGTAAAAATTTGTGAAGACTAGTCGTTTGTTTGATAAAACACAAACTCAAAATGCACTCACGCACAAAGCTACACATACATATATTATACATATTTCATATGTATTCTATACGGTATGTGGCGATGTAAGCGGATGACAGAGGAGCGGCACAATATAGATCCGTTGCATTGTGCATATTACGGCCTTTTGCACAAAATATTTTCTGTCATTTTAGCATACTTTAGTTTTTGGACATTGTTGTTGGCCATCCTGTGAGTTCGGTTGGCAGCGGGGGAGGGATATTGTGCGATTTTGTCAAGTGCACAGCCGATGTTGTTGTTATTGTGGCTGCCAGTTTTCCATTTGGGCGTGGGCCCGCCCAGTTACCACTGCGGAATGGTATGAAATAAATGTGCAAATGCGACTCATCTCCCGCATTTTCTCTCGGTGTGTGCCCATTTGCGCATAAATTTATGCATATGTATTTTTAATGCTCCGCTCCACTGACATCAACTGTCAGCATAATTTTTGTGCAAATTTTCGGTTTTTTTCTGGTAAATATTACAAAATTGGATTTTTATGTACACAATTTTCGTGTTAACACCGATCGCAAGATATACGTTTTATTCTTTAATTTTGTAGTAACTAATGCATTTAATAGTAGATTTTCATATAATTACTAAAAAAGACAAATATGATTTTACCATTAATAAATCTTTGAAAGCAATATTCAATTTTAGAAACCTTCTATTTAAATCTAGTACTAAACGAATTGTTTATAGTGACATCTCTTTTTTATATCCTACAAAAAAGTTTAATAACTTTGGGAACTGAGTTGTGAAGTTTATCTTAAGAGCACAGCTTAAAAGTGAAATAACTTGGGGAACTTACATCGTATCCTCAAGTTGACCGGAGCTGACTGGGTTTCTCCGCGGTCATTGGCTGCGGAACAGGCGTAATAGCCGGAGTGGACTCGACCCACTCGCTGGAGAACCAGGGAGCGAGTGGAGATGATGATGCCCCAGGACACATTCTGGGTCACCGGTTGGCCCTGGTGGAGGAAGGAGAATCACCCAGTTAATTAATACCAGTTTATTTCCATTTTGGCGGGAACTCACGTCATGCGACCACATGATGCGGTGCTCCTTGGGATTGGACTTGATGTGGCACTCGAAGTAGACGTCGTCGCCCTCTTTTATGTCATCCGGCCGCAGTGTGGAGCCCAGCGACAAGGTTACCTGTGGAGGATCTGGAAAGCAGCGAAAGACCCACTTGTTAATAGTTTGGTTCCCATTTTAATTGCCTGTGCTAATTTCCAAATTCCACTGTGAGCTCCTCGCCTTTCTTATATGTTTATTTAAATTGCCAGGCTGCCTGCAGCCCCATATAAAATATAAAATCGAAAAATATTATTGCATAATAAAACGACGAAATATACGGCGCGTTGTTGTCGCTGCGCAGACCATAAAAGTTAACAGCGCGGCGGAGGAATCGCGTTATAAACCACCGAGCCCCTTCGATCCGGATTCCGTATTCCGGATCCAAACAGGCTAACCAATGAGTATGACAGAAATTTTTAAATTAAAATCGTTCCGCTGCCGCGAGCAACGCCCCAATATCAATGATGGATCATATAAAATATTTAGTGTTTTCCCATCCCTTTTGCCATTTTTACAACATCATGATTGCCCGCCGAAGAAGGTGGATGAAACCGAAGCCCTCGCGAAAGGGAAAGCAACAAATTGTTACTGTTATGGCCGGGTTAAATGTGTGAGAAGGGGTTAACCAGACTGGAAACTGTAAAACAGTTGGTTCCAGGTAGTTACCATGTTTTTCTTTCAGGGGAAAAATGAATCACAGTCTTCCATTTGACCCACTGCGCGCCATTAAAAGCTTAAGCCATCGCCGCTAATCCTTTAAAGCAGGTTTTCCTTGTGTATATCTAATTTTATATTTCCACGCTGGACCGGGTCAAAAGGGCAGAGAAAAACTTTCTCCAACTTTCAGTTCGAAGCTTACGCGCTCGCCATTCAATATTTATGGCTGAATTTCGCATACATAGCTGGGGATCTATGCGTGACTTTAAAATTCAATAAATTTATGATTATCCAAAGAAAAAACCCGTGGCAAAACAAAGTGACAACACGAAAATAACTAACCCATGGAACTTTTTAGTGTGGGACGAACCTTAACCGTTTTCGTTTCCCTTCGACAAAGTAGAAGGTCGCGATTGCTGTTGATTTTAAATTGATAATCATATAAAGTAAAATTTATGACATTTCGCTGGCGCTGCAGCAAATATGCGAAACGAAGCAAAGCAGGCAACAAATTTTTCGCCAGCTTTTTTATGGCCACGCTAAGAGTCAACGGAATAAATATTGACATACAAACGAACGGCTTCATACTGGGCCACTTTCGATGGAAGGAGCGGGTGCTGTATGTAAATAATGCCATATAATTTAGACTTATTTGCACAGGCGACTTTGATTTGTGCCCTGCCTGCATTTATGGAAATACTAATCGCTTTTATGGAATGCGCTCCAAATAAAATGTTTCATTGGCTGTTGTCTAAAAAAAAGTTAATAATTCGGGAGTAGAAAGCCCCTATGAGCTATTTTTTAAGAATTCGCTTTGTTCCTTTGGCCCTTTTCGGTGTTTTTATTCTAGGGTATAAATAAGTATTAAGTATTTTCTTTAATTTCCCTTTTAGGGCTAGTACTCAACCCAACAAAAACTCGTCCAAAACAAAAACTTCATATGAAACAAAATATTTTGACGTTGTTTTTCATATGAAGTTTTTTGTTTTGGACGACTTTTTGTTGGGTTGAATACTAAGCCTTAAGGTAACGGAAAAGAAATAAATATTTACCTAGCTAAAATAATACGAAGAAATTTTCAGATTGAAATTTAACTCAAAAATATTTTAAACTAAAACCAAACTTATCCAATTTCAATTATTTTCTTTTAGTGTGCTCGCATAAAGCGTCCCACTTACAGATGACATTCATCATGAGCGAGTCCTCGATGGCCGAGTTTTGCAGCCGTGGGTTGGAGCCCTCGCACTTGAGCATCGTACCGTCGTCCTCGGGCTGAGGATAAAATGTCAATGTGGATATGACTCTTCCATTGCCCTGGCTCGTTGACAGCTGTGTGGGTGGAGAGATGAAGTGAAATCGATTAGAAAAGTGCCCGCTGGCCAGATCCACCGGAGGAAATTCATAAATAGGGCTTTCGCCTGGCCAAGATTGAGTTAGAGACGCTGGACGACTGAGCGAGAGAGCTTACCTGGCCACGTTTGAAGGGCCGATTATTCTGCGTCCATTTGATTTCCGTGTCCGGCACCGAACCGGCCACAATGCAGGTGAGATTGTACTGCGTGTTCGAGGCGAAGACCTTCAACTTATTGGTTAAATTGACTGATGTGGGTTTGACTGTGGGTGTTTAAGGTTTAAGGGGATTAGGCGTGACTGGCAATATTGACTACTCGTTCCGGCCACTCACGTAACATTTCGATGCGGATGCTGCGCTCCACGGGCGCCACCAGCTTCGTGTTGGAAGCCTGACAGCGGTACGTGTTGTTCAGGGCGGAGCGCGAGATTTGAGCAACCTCCAGGCGGTTGACCGTCACATGGCGGCCCATGGAGACCCCACTGCCCGCCTCCAAGGCGCGCGTCCCGTTCAGCCAGGTCACCGTCGGCTCCGGTCGTCCTGTTGATGGAGCAGGAAAAATCGCAATAATTAGACACACCTTCGGTTTTAACTATTTAACTGAAATTAAAGGTAAAGTGTGCGATGTCCAAACCAGAATAGCCCAAGGTATATTTAAGTTGTTTTAATGCAATACAAGTTATGTACAGATTTTTACAATTAAAACATGTATTTGGTATATATAATTCGGCCAGCCGACATTTTTATTAATCTAAGAAGTATTACGCCAATGGTAAATAGTGATTTACTATCGTGTATGTAAAAAAATAATAAGCTGTTTTGGTACTAATAATTAGTTTCTCGATCTTTGTATTGACGTAGATTTCTTTCGCAAAAAATATACTTATTTTTAACCATTAAAGTTCTATGGCATTTTTTAAAAGCTTTAATGTTTAAGCTATTAAATTTCTGTATTCTCTTATAAATAATTGCGAATTGCCAAAATTAATTGTTGGTGATAAAGGAGCAACGAATTCAGAAACAATCGTGTGTAATGGATTCCATGCTAGAAGCACAAAGGGAAACAGTCCTGCCGTACCCTCGCAATCCAAATTCAAATTTAAATTAATGTTTAATGCATAAATTAATTTTAAATTTCGTGCCAACTGTTTTTCGCTGGCAGCAAACTTTTCCACTCATGCATTATTAACCCGCCCGTCTAGAGAGAGTTTTCCCGAGGTGGTTTTCTAACGGAAGCGGCGTGACCACAGAGCCGCGTTCGAAAATTTATGACCGAAAAAAAATGAAGGAAACTTTCAACATTTTAATGATAATGCGCATTTAGCAGTGTGTACCCAAGGCTTTTAAAAAAGGCTTAGCCAGCTTAACTAGCAAAGTTGGGGCACTGGATGGCCGGGACGGATGGGTGGATGGATGGATGGTCAAAAAAGGCCAGGAGGCGGTCATGGGTTTCCCAGCAAACGCATAAGCGTGAATATTGAATTAGTCGGTTGGGGAGCCAAAGGGAGAGATGCGGAAAGTTTTTGGGGACCTGCTGATGACCCCGAATACAAAAACAATACTGGCACAAGGAGAGAGCGGATGAAAGGCACATTTTGATACATTTGGTGGCGTTGGCAAAGCTGATTAGTGCATCACAAAGCTATGGGCTTTATCAAAGTCTGTTTAAATATTTAAATACATATTAGACAATAATTAAAAGTGAATTACAGAATCGGTCCAATATTTACATTGAATGTTTGATATCACTGCCTCTAAAGAGGGTATAATTTAGTTTTGGCTTTTGTAACGAAATAATGACCAAATAAACTAAATACGTTATTTTATTTACTTTTGTTATGAACCCTTTTCAACGTTTAATAATGGGCAAATTAAAAATTCCAGCAGAGAATATTCCTATTTCATTTTACTACATATAAAAAGTGAAACATGAATTTTATTCAATACCTTTTCGTTATGATTTAATGAAGCAAGTATACCCTTTTGTTGAGTACTTACTCCAATTAAAAATGTTAATCCGAGTAGCCCACCAGATTGACGTATGCTCAAAGGAAGATGGATCCACTCATTCACTTTCGTTTTAAAAACCATCTCTACCTGTCTCAATTTACCCAATGAGTACAAATATTAAATTAATAAAATATGACTTGGCCATATGTTCGATTGACTATCGATTCACTCTCCCGAGCTGGGAGTTCTCGATGCAGTTTTCCGAATCTGCAGCCCGGCATTTCAATTGAAATTCGGCAATCACTTTTTCGCTCTGCTGCCATCGCTCAATGCTCGGAGAAAGCGGTAGGGAAAGGCATTTCACTCGCTCACATATCAAATGTACGAAAATATTTTTAATCCGTTTAAGTGCCCAAAGCTTGGGCCCCAACTGCCCGCCTTTGGCATAGCCATTGGGTTTGGTTTGGGCCATTAAGTGAGCCAAGTGAATGCGGCGGAAATGAGCAACAATAGCAACAAGCAGCTGGGCATTGGGACTGGCATTGGCAGACGCAGACGAGCAGGGGATTGGGTTCCTCGGGGGTTGGAGATTGGAGATTGAAGGGCGAAAGTAGCTGATAGCTGGAGTGTGGACTTGGGAATTTACTGCCAGAATGGCAGAATGGCAGAATGCTGGCTGATTGCAAAGGATACTCGGCGACAATAAGCCAGCGAGGACACACGCACACACGCCGAAAGTTGGGATGGGAATGCAGGGATAATAGACAAATAACAGTTTCCCTGCGGCATTTAGCTGGCTTTCACCTCCCCCAACTCTCGGCACTTTCTTTCTCTTGCTCCTCCGCCCATACACCAACCACCACCCACTTCCTTTGTGTAATGAAGACAGCGCGTTTGCCATTTGCTAAGCCATACTTACGCTTGTTGACAATTGCCCCACTGGACAATGCTCCAAAGGAGTCGGGGGGCAAATATGCAAAGGACTGCGGGACTGAACTCAACTGGAACCGGACACAATGGATAACCCCGGCGCTTTTATGGGGGCCTGCCTAGATTAGCTTTTTATTGCCGGTATTAATTGCTATTAGTCGAAGTTAATAAAGTTGATAAAGCAATTTGGCATTTGGCGTTTATTGTGCTGGGGGGCTATGATTAGTGGCGGGCCATAAAAATGGCGTCAGGATTTGCATTAGCTTTAATCAGGATGCGAGCACCCACCGTTTCTTTGGGCGAATACCTCACCATCGCCCTGTCGACGCCATGTGGCGCTGAAATTGCGATATTAGTTAATTTGGCTTTGAGACCTCCGAGGGTGCCAAATGAAATACAAGCCTGCATTGCGGTCTTTCAAGGAGCCAACCCATGCACTGGAATATAATGCGTTCTACGATCGGGAATAGATTACACATTTTTGGTCAAAATAAGTATTAAAGTCTTAATGGGTATTTTAAGCTATAAGTATTAGTATATCTAAAGGGCTAATTCATTTTATTTTGAATAAACTGAAAGTGTTTACTAATTTATTTAATAATTGACATAAATTCATTCTGCTAATAGATATTTTGAATAGAACCTAGACGAAGTACAGCTGCCAATTACAAAGAGATAACTATCCTAAATGACCTAACTTTTATCTCAGTTTTAGGAAAAGCAATTTCCCTAAGTGCAGGGGGTGGCAACTCGGGGGCGGTGCGGAAAATGTTGCATACAAATCAGAGGCAATGCCACCTGCCAAGAAGCGTGTCGCTCAGCAGGTGTCAAAAGCGAATGTTGTCGACGTCGTCGTCGCAGTTTCACATGGAAGGGGACCCCCCTTGGCACCAAAACCCCCCTCTACGCCCGGGAAACTGGCTGTTTAGCTCATTCACATGCGGTTAGTCAAAGCGGCGACGTGAGGCACTGCTGCCAAAGCAAACCAAGAGGCGAGATGCCAAGGCGCAGGATGAATCCTTTGGCAGGAGAGTGCTGCACGTGAACAGGAGCACTGCAGGCGGCGGTGACAGCAGCCCAGGAATCACCATCAGCCGGAGCAACCAAACACCAGCTGCCATTCGAGAGGTGAGGCGAATAATGAGCTAGCATTTGCCAAGAGTGGGTTGCACAAAGCCCGGAATCCTTCAGTCGAAATTGGGCCACTACTTCGGCCTTTGGAGCCTGATAAAGTTCAAGAACAGGCTTAAAGAAGGTCCTTCAGGATTCCTCTTTGGTATTCGGAATACAAAAAGGAAAGTTGGCTTGGGCAGGGAAATTGTGTTTTCCCATTAGAACATTTAGTTCTGCAGTCGGTTTTTGATGAGTAAAGTCCGATCTGTTTAAAATCAAGCTAGGGACAGCAGAGCTCTTGATGAACAGCGGCAACTTTGCCAGCCAATTCAAGCAGTTCAATGAACTGTATCCACTGGCTGTCTGTAATAATCAACTTATTTCACTATCAAATGGACTTAAAAACTTTCGCGAGCTTCAGTAACAACTTCTACACCATCAGCTGCATTTTCGACCTTAAGCTCTGCCAAAACCCATTTAGTATGGCCAGAGAAAAAAACAGCTCGCAAATCGCGTTGCTAGTTGACATGGAAAATGTCTGGGGTGTGCGCCGAAAATATTGTTGTCAGAAAAGTTAATGATTTATAATGCTGATGTCGGGCATTCGTCGCCGTCGCCAGTTCCGTTGGGTTGAGTTCGAGGCGCTCCGGTTCAGTTTGGTTCGGTTCGTATCCATGGGGTTCAGTCATGCAAGGAGAGCCCCTCAAGCCAAGCCAGCGAAGCGAGCAACTTATACAAAAATTTTTCACACTTGCCAGCAGAAAAGCAAAAAAAAGGCGAGTAAAAAGTTTACTGGATGCGGTCGATGGGGTGCGGGTGCGGGGGTTTTTCCTTTCACCTTGGGGACCTCTTTAAAGATTTACGATGCCGCATATGCCTACAGGTCATAGCTTGGCCAATGGATGTGCCGTGCACGACAAAAGCACGCCAGACGCTCGAAATTGTTGCATTTTGCCTTAAAAGCAAACTGGCAATGACAGCGGCCGCAGACGCAGGAGGATCCTCCACAGACGACGTCCTGGTGGCGTCTGTGGAGCGGCAATGTCACCGCAGACTTTGACATACATTTATTTTTATTATTTACGATGACTTAGCCAGCCTGGCCCTGTCCCCCACTCGAACCAGCAGACTCGGTCACGGCTGGGGCCTATCTGGGGCTTTTCATCTTTAATTCTTTAAATAGACTGCCAGGGTGGGGTGGTAGGAGATGCGAACGAGGCTGAAACTGAATCTCTCACTAAAGATTGCACGGAGAAAAATAAGTATGCAATGTCGGGGTCACCTACCAAGGTGCACTTCTTTATAAACAGCCCCTTATAGTGGTTCATTTTTAAGAAAGGGTGCTTAAAATTAATTAAAGTTTCACTGTCTTCAGTTATTAAAATTTAAAACTTTAAAGTTGTACTCCTACAATATATTAAATATATAAAAAGATATAAAATCTTTAATACCAAATTGCACTGCAACTGAGAGTAGAACCTTTTTCTCTGTGTGCAAGTGGAATCAGTTGCGTTTTTGTGCCGACCTCCCCAGCTTGATAGCCTTTTGTCTGAGTGCCACATTTATGTGGCAGAGGGTACGTGTATGCGTTGGTGTCGTTTATCATGATTTACTTACCGCCACGCACTTCACATGTCAACACAATATTATCGCCCTCGAGCAATGGACCCACAGCTCCGGCAACATCGCGACCGGAGGCATCGTACACGAGTATTTGATGCGGAGGAACTGCAGGAAGAGCGGAGAAAAAGGGACAGTCGTTATAAAAGGGATGCACTAAGAAAAAAAAGACAGTCGTTATAAAAGGGATGCACTAAGAAAAAACAGTTTCAGGTGTTTCAAATTAAACGTCAATCTATTATAAGGAAAAACAGGAAAAAAAGGAAAATCTATACGTTGTAGTCCTTTTAGCTTGGGTAAATATTTAGTCATTATCATGTGTTTTATTATTTGAAATTGTTTTCTTTAGTACTTGTAATTTGAACAAACCATTAGCCAAAGTGTTAATTTTTATGTTTTGTTTTTTCTAAACTATTAAATTCACTTATTATTGGTTGACTTCAATTCTGAATTGACGTTTGATTTACTAAATTATTAAATTCGTTTATTGTTGCTTGGCTTAAATTCTGAATAAAAAAAGTTGCTTTAGCTATGCACTATCTAATAACTCTATAATATTTAACTTTGGAAAGAATATTGAAACAAAAATTTTAGTTATTCTCTGACAATAAAGAGGGAGTTCTTCTTATCTGCAGAAACATTTCTTAGAGTGTTCGTGATAGGGGGAGGCGCAGAGCTTCCTTTAATGGGGGTGCACTGCCTTTCGGGTACTCACCAATAACCGTTAAGTTAATTCTATGATTACGCGTGGGTGAGTTCTGAAAGTCGACGCGGCAGCGGTAAACCTGTTGAGGGAATCCAATAAAAAATATACAATAACATAGCGCAGTTTTCGGCTGGTAATGGTCCAGCTTTAGCCACTTACGCCCTCGTCATCCAGCTGAATGTTGTCCACCGATAACTTGGCCGGCTGCTGTCCGGTAACGAAATACGCACGTGGCCCAAATGAGTTGGTGTCCGACCAGTAGAGGGCCTTCTCAAAGGGCCGTCCTCGGACATCGAAGCTGCAAGGGGAGAAACAGGGTGGGAAATGTTAAAAAGTTGCCTAAGTAGTTCCTCCTTCGTTATCTCTATCTAACGGCCGCAGGGGAAATGAAAAAAATGAGTACATAAAGGGAAATAAAACCAAAATATTGACGATAAGTTGTGTCAGCGATTGCCTACCAGAGCATTTCAGATGTCGCAGCCAAGGTCGTAAATTTTAATGCGATCTGAAAGTTTTCACGGGGTGTGACCTCGGGGATTGACCTTATGTTTTAAACATACTAAATGGATCGCCTTTCTTTGGAACATACTTCTTAGCATAGTTAAAACCTCTAACATAAGTGGAATCAGAATAAAGCCGTTAACCTGACACAATCTCACACATGTATGGCTCTCTAGGAAAATGCTAAGTAGTCATAAAAACTGAAATGAAATGAAGGCACAGAACGAACGGCAAAAGCTAGAGCATGCCACTTAACACTTAAGCTGAGCTAAACTCTGGAAAACTGAAAACATAGTAGCACACAAGGTGGCATGCTTTTTATAAAGAATACTTTAAAGCCTCAAGAGAGGCCACTGCATAAACATAGCAACTTATTGGACCAGCTTGGGCTGTTATTTCTAGTGCAAACCATAAATATTGAATGGAAAATTGTAAAAAACGACACGCTCGAAAGTGGCCTGGGCCAGAATTTTCACGCGTCTACGAAATGACCCTTTTCCTGTGCCCGATGACCCGCGGAGCGACGGGTCGACAAAACGAACCCCGAGCATAAATTTGCACGCAACTAATTTCTTCCGTTTCGCATTATTTTCGCAGCCCAGCACAGACCCAGCAAACGTTTGCAATTTTGCGCATTAAAAAGCCTGACGTGCTATCTTTGGCGCTTTTATTGTATTTGTTAATGTCCGTCTGAGGACTTCGGACGTTCTGGAGGGTAGGTTGCCACCCCTTGTACCCCCACTCCGGATGCCCCAGCGACACGCCGTAAATGACTTGACGGTGGCAAAGCTTTCCCACAATTCTTTTCATGACACTCTGAAAAATATGTTTCATCTGCAAACAATCTATTTCTATTGTAAGGACCAAAGAAATTTCGAAAAATTTTTTAATAATTTAATTTAAATGGGAATTTAGTTGGTAAAATTTATTTAGAAAAATTTAAAGTTCCATTAGTCATTATTATTGATTTTAAAAATAAAAGTAAAATATTTGTCGCCGAGCAAACCCATTTTCTAGTTATACATTTTAATGTATCTGGTTTTGTCATAAAGGAGTAAATCAATTATCTTAGCATTCATACAGGGAAGAATTATGTGTGGAAATAAGTTTAATTTATGGATAATTTATAGAATGACCTAATATTGCGCATTAGATTAGTTGAACAGGTCGAATAACGTACATATATTTTAGATTTAAATTTATTGCCTTATTAGCAAACATTTAACACAATAATATTAATATGAATATGAATATCCACCAATGACACATAATTTTCAATTGGACCAGTTGTGGCCGATATTGCGTATTCGACCTGTTGAGCCAGGGAAAATGTATTAAATTATATTGAAATCAAATAAAAAGTAACTTGAATCGGTGCTTTTCCGATCCTTTTCTTCCAGTGCCCCTTTCTAGTGACCCACACACCAGCACATCGTCTTTGCACAGTCATCGCCAGTTGTGTCCTTTTGTTGTTTCCGCTGTCGTCGTGCAGTCTGCGCTATCTGTGGGTCCTTGCCACGCCCCCTTACCACCCTCCGCCCAGTTGCGGTTAGCGGAGCGGTTTGTCATTGTGCCGGCTGGCAGGATTCTTCGCGGCCTCCGCCCGGCGGCCGTATTGTTTGCGCCTTTAAGTGGTTTTTTATCATTTTGCCGCTGACACAATTTATATCCGGTGCTCATATTTCTTATGCTTATCACTGGGGCTCCTCTGCTACCGTTGGCGCTTTCTCCGTTCTCCCATCTCCGTTTTCCTTGGCCTTGTCATGTGTTTGGCCATTCCTCTAATTGTGTTCAAAGTGCAGTAAGCCATGCGGCGAATAAATTACAGATTCTAAGCCTTGCCCAAAGCCAGGGCACGTACCCTAATTAGCCTAATTAAATATATGCGCGAAAATGTAAACATAACGGACTGCTGAGAATGGGGAACTCCTTGGGAAATTTCCTTTTAAAAACTGCGCTTCAGGTTCGCGCTTTTCCTGGCTTTTCCCGCTTTTCCGCTTTTAATTTTGCGCATTTGCAAACAATAGAGAAACGCCGAATAGTCAACAAAGGCGGAGGAGCAATAGCGATAAGGCAAGGTGGAATGGAATGGAGTTTCCTTTCCCATTCTAATTCCCATTCCCATCCCGTCACCCAAATATGGCCAGAATTCGCCGGTCTTAGCCCGGCTTGCCCTCTGTTGACGTTGTGTTTTCTCGTTGTTGGCCTTAGGAAACAATAATGCCAAGTTTGCACAATGAGCAAAGCAGCAAAGCATCATGGAGACTTCCAGGAGCGGGGGACGTCGAAAAGGACAGAAAACAGAAAAATAAACGCCAAATGCTCGGGCAGTAAAAATTGTAAAGCAGAAAAACAGGGGAAAGCAAACGAGTAGCAAGGAGCAAAATAAAATGGGCCAAGCCAAGAAAAGAAGACAACATTGTGGCAGTTGCAGAAATGTTGACTGTCGTCGAAGACCGGGATAAGAGGAAGAGGGTTGCGGAGAATGTAAACGAAGAAAGGCAAGAAGGTGGAGAAAGAGGAGGAGAAAGTCCGGGAACAAGAAGAAAGCATAGGAGACAAGTGGACGCAACCACGCGACGTCCGTTTCAAGACTTCTGCACTTCAAAAAAGTTTGATTTGTTAGATAATTATATATATAATGTTCAAGTACCTCCTCTTTTAATTTCCACAGATAGCTAAACACAAAACTCTTAATTCTTAATATTACAAATTACAAATTTAAGGAAACTGTTAATCGAATAGGATACATACTATATACAGAATAGGTTCCACTAAAAGTACTTTCAAGAAGTGGTTGATATTAATCTTTTTTTAATAATATTAACAAATAACTTACAACTTTAATGACTTGACTAATTTCCCCAATATTTTTACAAGTGCATCTGTCTCATTCACATTGGCTTTCTTCCACTCACCCATTCTTTGGCTTTTCCTTTGTCGATGGTCTGCTTTTTTCCGACAATTAGTTGAGTTTTATTTATTTTGCGTTAATTGGTAGCACTTTATCTTGGGCCGAATGAATGAGCTGTGTTCTTTAAACAAATCCCGGAGCGAGACGGACCTTGAACTGGACGTTGGTTGCATGGGTTTGGTAATTACGTTTTGGTTTTTTCGGTGGCTGGGCATAAACTTTGACCGCCACACCCCTGCCCCTCAAATTTAGTATTCGCAACCGACGATCCCCGCCCCGAAATCCAATATCAAAGCAAGCTTCTCATATTGCCATTTAATGCTTTTCCTTTTTGTTCGTTCTTCAGTTTGTAACGCTTACAAAATCCTATTCAAAAAGATTGCAAAAGGGCTGAGGGGGCGGGATGGGAAATCTCCCCAAAAAAGTATAAAAAAAATAAAAAAAGGACCGAAAACTTTTGCACTCACAATATCCATTGAATAATTTTATGACAATATGTGTCAGACCGTGTCGGTGTGTGCGTGTGTGCTCGTGTGTGTGTCGGTATTTTCTGACAGTTTAAACAGATGCTGCTGTCGTGGGAACGGTTTTGGCCGAGATTCCGTACGCGACTGCCGAATACTCATGCCAGCTGACTGGCAAAGCTTAAATGTATCGGATCCGTGGGTATACTTTTAATTGATGAAATCATCTTTAACTCCTGTACCACAAATTTAAAAGCCATTGTACGGACAGAAAGCAATTTAAAAATGCACTTATTTTTAACTTGCTTAAAATGTATTATTTATTCAAAATTATTGTGCAAGCTCTTTTTACCGAAATTGCAAATCTACTATTTATATTTTAAAGGCGGTATTTTTTCTTGTTTTATAATAATACATACGAGTATACATTTTATTTTCCGGTTTTGCAATGAATTCATATTGAATCTTTGACCCCGACCTACAAACTTTTCTACAGGGTACCTAAATTGTGGAATCCAACTATGCATCGCTTGACAAAAGGCAATAAACTATGAGGGCATGAGGGTCTGCCAACACACTACCCACTTTGGGCGGGTTATCCACACTCACATCCACGTCCATGGACAAAATTAGACAGGTGAGAATAGGCTCTCGCACATTGTACAGTCGCATATTGTCTGGCGGCCCGTATCAAATTATGCATAAAGAAACCCTATCGCACGGGGGGCGGGGCCTTCCACGCTGAAGCGCCAAAAAGTATGCTCCGTAACTCGACCAAAGTGGCAACAAATTTAAAATTGGTTTCCACACAGAGCCACACACATCGTGCAAACAAAAGAAACGCAGCACCGAGAGAAATATGAAACAATAATAACACCAAAAAAAGGGGCTGTTTACACGCCCCCATATACACATACATACAAAAGTATGCAAATGGTTTTACTGCCCCTTTGTTTTTGTTTTGTTTTTCCTTTTTTTGCAGTCGCCCTTTGTGTGTGGGTATTGGTGTTATTATGGAGCCATGCTGTGTAATATCTGTAAATTTCTTTTGTTATTGCCAACAACAGTTTTCCCTTAGCCACCTCCCCCCCCCCAAATTTTCCCGATCCCCTCGCTTTTCCAGCGAGCGGTGTTGACATTTGTTGGCATCATTCCACACATTGTTGCCGCTGGTGTTGGTTTTTGTTTGGTTTTCGCTTCATCTTCTTCTTAACTTTTACTATATAATTTGTAGCATATGAATATATGAAGGACCCGAAGAAAAAAGCAGGGGCCGCAGAAACAAAAGACACAAACAACGCCGTTCTCGTTGTGCTCGGTGGCCAAGTTCAAATTTATGCAGTGTCGCCCAATAAATTCCGCAATAAATTCAAAATAAAACTTTCATCTTGGGCTTGCCTATTCGGTTTTCGGTATTTCGTGAGTGTGGCCGCAGGTTAGGGTTTCGAGAGCCAAAAGCCATTCATACTGGGAATCCAGAGTTGAAGCACAGATTTTAATATTTTGATTGGGGTTAAAAATTAGCTCGAAAAGGGTTCGCCGATGATAGGGTTCGCTACAGCAGTAGGCTAACAAATATTTTAGTGGGTTTTCGTGCATATTCAGCATTTTTAAAGTATTATCGAGATAAATAATAATAAGTGCTTTAAATCTTATATTAAAATTATGTTGAAATTATATTGAATTTTCTGCATGTTACACATATATGTTTGTGGTGTACAAATTTATTTTTGAGCGGAACTAAACAATAAGCAAAACAATTTAAAACAAAGCGGATTCGGTTTCTATTTTATTGAGTTCAGTCATATACATTTCGGTCCATTAAAAGGAATATAAATACTTAATTGTGGGCACCTAAAACAAGAACAGATTGTTCAAATATACAATGATGTTAAATTCCCAGAATTTTCCAATTACGGCAAATTCCCTCCGTCCAATTACCGAAATCGAAGTCATTAAATGTTAATCACGACGATGGAGAGAAGTTTGGTAATCGGCCTCTCGCCTTGGAATGCACAATCAGTGGAAGGATTGGACCACCATTTCCGACTGTGACCAAGTGGTGAGCCGACAAAGAAAATCCCGACGTTGGCATTTCTCTGTCGGCGGTGGAAACCAGAGCTTAGTGGCGGCCAAATCGATTTGCATGCGCCGCTTGCATTTCCGTTTTCACACACGCACACCCGCGCACCCGCACACATACACCCACTCAATTGCATATACATTTGAAACTTAATTACAGTTTTAAATATCCCATCTAACCTGAAATTCGCGCAAAGTGCGACTACAGAGCAGCCTGCCGCTCGTAAAATGGCCCGAAAATGCACTCGACTTAATTGCCTTTGGACCACGACTTTTGCCTGTCCTTTTTGCTGCATTTTAAAAAATTTTGGTGAACGCAATTCGGATTTTACTAAGAAACTCAGGGAAATATTAAGCTTAAATGCAATAAACTAGTCAGTTCATATATTTTAAGCTTGCCTATATCACCTCATTTATAGTTTCATAAACTATTTTTGATTTAATCGCCTGTAGATAATTTCGCGAAATCCATTTTAAACATTTTCCTTTCCGTGTAGGGGTATCCTTCTCCAGGCAGTGATTCGCCATCTTCAGTTTCTCTTCGCTTCCGTTGGCGTTGGCCTTTATTGCCAGCCATTTTGAATACCATTTTGTGGTTTATTACTTTTGCGGCAGACCGATTCTCAAGCAGCAAGCCAAATACACACACGGCTCAAGCACTTCGAAGTGAATGCACTTTCGATTGCCCCCTCCATCCGGATTTTCCCGCCGCCCGGCTCAGCCTGTATTTATGGGGCGGTTGGCAGGCGGCTGCCGGCGATTATGGCAGTTAGCGTGGCACTCAGATTATCCGCTTTTGACAGCCAGTCCTTTGCCGAGTTCAGTTCAGTTCAGTTGGGAAAGGAGCAGGGTAGAGCAGAGCAGAGCAGAGCAGAGCAGAGCAGAGCAGAGCAGAGCAGAGCAGAACAGACCAATCCAATCCGACCCAGTGCTCGCAGCGAATTTAATTATTCATGCCACGGAACCTACGGATACCTGGCACCCAGCAGCCGGGCGTTCAGGTGAGCTTTAAAAATCAATTAACCTTGATTGTGGCCCTGGCTTAAAGTCCACCGTAACATCGATGTTTACATAAGGCAGTCGGGTATATTTGTTTTACGGAATCTGTGCACTTCGCTCCCCCTAATCTATAAAAACGATTGCTTTTGTTCATATAAATCACAGCAGATCATTGGTATTTTGGTCAGCCTATCATCGTTGTTGAACGATTATTCATAATTGAAGTAGCCCGTTTAATTAAATATATTATTATGTAATTGGGTTAACTTGCAGTTAAATTAACAAGTGTAAAATTACCGAAGAGCTTCTTAATTCTTAAACCATAAATCTGATTTAAAGTCCGTGTCCATGTATAAAAAAAATCAAATGCTCTTTAAATTAAATATACTTATGTTTCCACCCGAGCAGCTCATCAAGAGCAAGTGCAGTTAATTTAATTTAATTTGAACACACTTTCATCGCTTCATTTCGGCTGATCCCAGCGTGAATCGCAGTCGCCAGGGAGCAGGGATGTGGCGAGTGCAGTGCTCCTGTTTGCCTTTTGAATCGCTCCAGCAGTGGCCATTTCCTTTTGCCTTTTGTTTGTTATGTCGGCTTTGTGGGGGGCTGTGGGCGTGGTTGTGGAGGGGCTGCCAATGCCATTGACGGCCTGCAATATTGAACGTGACAGTTGGCCTGTCGACCCACAGAGCTTTCCCTCGCCTCGCACCTCGTTACAGGTGGCTGTCATGGCAAATGTTAATTTTAATAATGGAAGGGCAAGCAGAACGGCCCCTGCTTTTTGGCCTTATATCGCTCACGATTCATAACAAATAAATGTATAAAAATCTTATGAAAATCGCATTCCAAGGGTCAAAGTCAGCAGAAACAAATCCCGGCCAGCAATCCGAGCCATAAAAATGAACCCTAAAACCCGAAATAGCCTAACCCTAAAAAACTGTCTGCTTGTTGGCCAGGCCAGTCAAACAACAAAGCAAAAGTTAACATTATAATTTTTAATATTTTTGCTTTTAGCCTCCTGGGCAGGACATCGTTTTGTTCGTGAGCCTCGGCTTTTGGCTTTGTATCTGGGTGTAAAGCTGTCAAACGCAGGGGAGCTGCTAGACAGGACCTTGCCCAGGATATTTGGGGCGGAGGTGTGTGCGGACCCGTTTAGGTGAGGCTGCCAGCTGTGACGTGCCTTTGGAAATGTTGCAAAGCCTGCCCCACAAAAAGGATGTTCGACACTGAGGCAAAAGATCATGCAGAGTTGGCTTCTTGAATACAGGATGTTAGAATGTAGTCCGCTGAGCGATGGAACATTAAAAATTAAATATTCGAACTATTAGGGTTTACAATTTTCGTGATTTTACTTAAGAAATGCAATATACAAAATGGGCCAATTCAGTATGTCCCTGCCATAATAACTTGACCTATTTTTAGATCGTAATCACCGAGTAATTTCTCCTAGTGTACTATCACTACAGTGGTAAACCTTGGGGATCCCGTTCTGTGTCCTATTTTCCCGCTCTCTCTTTCCGCCCTTCACATGCTGCTTTCAATTTCGGCGCCTTTTCGGTTTTAGCTTTTGGTTTTGATTCTTTTCTAAGCCCCATTCAGCTGCCCCTCTGTGTGTCCTTCGATTTCACGCAGAGCTGGCAATTTTACGCCGCAGCCCGAGTCCTGACTGGAGTTTTTCGTTTGGTATCCTGGCCTCCGCCTCGCAGCTGTTGCTGTTGTTCTTGTTTTCGCCTTGTTATTTATTTCCCTAAATTTCATTCCTATTTCTTGTTTTCCTTTCATTTTTTTTTTGGGCTCCGACTTGTCCTGGACGGGAAATCGAATTCGAATCACTTTCGGATATTTTTGGTTATAAAGTCGGAAATTTTTGCGACATTATTGTTTTCCACATTTTTCTAGTTTTCCGTTTTTTTGCTATTTGTTTTCGCCGGTCCAAACACTCACCTCCTTTCCTCATATTTTCCTCTTTGTCTGGTCTGAAATTTATTGCTTCCAATTGAGTGCACGAAGTGGCAAGAACAACAGCATCAACAAGGATCAGAGTCCTGGGCGGCAGGACTCGTGAACAGTTCGCGCTCGCCCTTGAGATACACGTGCGTTGGTATACGTACACTCGTACGTATCCGTATCCGTATTCGTTTTCGTATTCGTACCCATATCCATGTCGTTGTCTATGTCCTTATTCCCGAAAAGCCCCGTCCACCCCTGGCAACATATTGAAAAGGAAGCACATGTAAGCAAAATTGACAAGGCTAAAGGATATCGATGTCTGCTTATAATGTGCAACATATTAAACCTAAGCACACGTTCGCCAGCGAGCTCTATAAATAACAGCAGCAGGAGTTCGAGGACATTGCCGGGTGGTTGAGGGGACGATGATGAGGATGTGGACGGAGCTCCTCCCACAATCAAAGCTGCCGCCAAAACAGTTTTCACTTTGGATGCCATTATTTTGCTGCCCCCGCATTTCACCCCGGATGTCCTTTGCCTCGGGCCCTCCGGCTAATATATGAGCCCATGTCGCCCTGGTTGGCCTGCCTGGCATGCCGTCGCTTTGTTTTGCTTTGACCCACTCCTGGAGCCATGTCCTGGCCCCTAGGACGCCAGGACTCCAGGACTAGGCTCAAGCGGCAGCTACACGTTGAGAAAATTAATGCTGGGCTAGAGGGCAAAGTAAAGCGGTTGTATCGTTAAGCCGTAATTCTACATTTTAATAGCTATATCCTTGTTTCAAGTTAAAATAATAAAGGAACGCGATAATGTTTATTTTAATTGCTATTAAATAAAAATGGTACACATCTTTTTTTACATAACGTTTACACTTTCGCCCAGTGTAGTCTCCACTCGAACCGACTCCAGTTGAGTTGATATTGATGATGTTATTAAAATAATAAATTATTTGAAAATTATGAACTGCTGCCATTTCTCATGAAGCTGTCGGGTCGAATGAGTGGAGGGAGTGGCCACTGGAGGGGCATATAAATCAAAGGTAGTCGGCACAGGGACCCCAGTTGGCCAGCCCCGAAAAGGGCGGAACTTCTGTCAACCGCACAGGCACACATCCACACACTTATACTTGGAATCTCAAAGAGACTATAAAATTAGCAAGTGGCTGCTAACCTGAATTCAAATTCGACTGCCTCGGATGGGGGAAGACCTGCTTACCTGTAAAGTGGCTTGCCGGCGCTCTCACGGAACCAAAGCACCATGTACACCCGATCGTCCTTCGCCTCCGGCTCGATGTCGCACGGCAAGGATGCGGTTCGTCCCAGAACGGCCTCCACGGCCACTGTGGAAACTGAAAGGGGAGGAGAAACACAATTATGAGTGCACTGCGGTAAAATAATCATATGTGGTCTAGAAAATACATACGCAAATTGTTTTAAAGACTATTTCGTATTTATAAGAATTAAAATCTCTATTTTGACAATATAAGGGCACTTCGTACAATAGAATAGTTTAGTTATACGTATTCGACAAGGTTCTGGACAAGTCGTAGTTCTGTTATCAAGAATTTAACTTATTGACATAATGGAAGATTCTCTTTTGCTTTTATTTACTTTACAATAATTTTGTACATTTGAAAAACTACACACAAAAAATTTTGCTTGGTAAAATTGACCAACAAAGATAGTTACGTAACTATTAAAATAGTTACGTGTATTTTGTTTTTGCTTTGGGTTTGTGTCTTTGCTAATTGTGTGTATTTTGTTGTTGTGAAATGACAATTTACTTAGTAGAATTGACAATTTTGCTGGTTGGGGCCTGTTTGACAATTATTACAGTTGATTTTACCAAGTTTTTTTTTTGTGTGTATGTTTCGGAAGAGAGACATGTTATATGTTCCGTGTCAAAAGAACGGGAGCAGACCGACTTTCAAACTTATGTAAAAACATTTATATTTTTCATAAATACTATTAACATTTACTTGGGATTAAATTAAAATTGAATAAGTAAATATAAATAATTTTCTTCCAAATCAAGTTTTTCTGCGAGTAATCCTTGCCTCATTTTCCCTTGGTGTATCATTACCGTTTCCACCCAATGCAATTGAATGAAACGACAGGTGGGGTGGCTCTTTTGAAATGTCATGACAAAACTATTGCCAAAGTCATTAACACAATATGAAAATGTCCTTTTTGCTCTATGCCCGGGCTGAGCTTTTGGGGTGTTGCCACAATTACTGGGACTCGACTCGACTCGACTCCTTCGTCGATTTCCTAGCAAATGTCAACAAAACGCTGCCTTTTAAGTGTCACGTTGAGACTGCCGTCCCACAAACGCGGAGCACGCAAGGCGGCAGCCGCACGACAACCTCAAGCCAGCTCCATTGAACCAGCCAACCATCTCCCCATTGAACCACCCAACCACCCCGGTCCTTTCAACCACCCAGCTCCTTTCAACCGCAATAGCCGCTGACGTTCATCGTTGTACTCGCATAATCACAACCAAGTACGTGAGTGGGAATATTAATGCCAAATTGAAGCCAACGACAACGATGACGTCGGCAATGGTGATGGCGATGGCGATGACGATGGCCGGTCTGCGATTTCACGGCGGCCTCATCTTTTGCATTTAAACTGCCAATTGATGTCACTGAAAACAGACAAATGCTAAGGGCATCGTCGTCGTCGCTTCCGGATGGCTAAAACTCATTCCCAATCCAATCTAGACCGCTGATTTCCCCATTCCCTCTCCCGAACGATCTTAGGAAATGACAATGGATTAAAGTTGGCCGGCTGGTTGCCTGGAGTTAAAGCCCCTAATTGTCCTTTGGCGTGAGAAGGATCAAAGCGGTCGTAGTGGGCGGCACTCTGCTGTTTAGTTAGTTTTGTCGTCACAAGTCGTAAATTAATAAGAGAAACATGAACTGTAAATGCATGCCCATCAATCAGATGGATGAATAAAACATTAATAGCCATCAAAGAGTTGTGAATGGGTAAATTTAATTGATTAAGTAAGGATCAAGTTGTGACGTCGAATTTGTATAGTTAATAGAACTGGGCACCGTGAAGAGATATTCATGATCGTACTAAAAAAGCCACACATTCTTTTTTATTTCCAAAAAATCTTCTCGTTTGTGCCCCCCAAAATGGTTCACATGCCCAAAGAATTTTAATATCAATTGAATTCCCCACGCAAATCAGAGAAAAAGAGACATTTGCCAACGATTGACGCCCGACACACTCATACGAATCGATTTCGGTGCGGAAAATTGAAAATTCAATTGCTCACCTGTCCGGCTGTCAAAACCCAGAAACTCGAGCACATCCATCATGAACCTATTTTACAGCCTGATGCTCATTAATACCCAAAAGGGAGCCTCACAATCGTGTTACGCGTAATTTAATTTCAGCAGCCACCAAACGAGTGAAAGGAATAAAAGTGCGGGGGCGAAAGGGGCGCAAATGCTCAGCTTGCAGACGATGCCAAAAATTGTTGACATTTATTTAATATGCGCACGTTTTATAGAAAAGCAATTCCCAGTCGGATAATTTATGGCACACTACAGAAATTTGCACATGAAAACGCCGACCCAGAGCCACCCACCGAAAAACACTCGCCCACGCTGGAGAACTGAATGACAAACGGACAAACAGACCGTCAGACATTCAGACAGATATGTGTTGTTGTGCAGCTACAGCTGTATTGGTGAGTGGGCTGTCGCCGAACATGGTAGCAATTTTCGTGCGTTTGTAATTCCCATGTAAGATGTCAAATGCTCGACGAGCAGACAGAGTTAGGCCCTCTATATCAGCTGGCTGGGGCTCCTGCACTGAGAAAAGCCTCTTTAAATGAGATGTGGAGACTCAGATTTGATTGCCTTTCAATTACTCAGTTTTTATTTTATTTTTCATGGTGTAATATGATATTATTTTACTTTCCTAATTCCTTAATCAAAAATGTGTACTTTAAATGCTATGTTTTTCCAGGGAACTAACTTAAGCTAGTTAAGTAATCTGTTCTAGAACAAATAAAAATAGAGTCCACAATAATAGTACAGAGGTTTTGGATCACACGGTTCTATCGATGTGAATAGACTTTTATAATTTGTATTCTAAGGGGATTTTGTTATACTAAGGGCGCTTTTGGCAAAAATAGGTTCCTAATGAAATTCAAACGAATTTAAATGTTCCAAAAACGGATCTATATTATTTGTCCAACTTTTAGGATTTTTTTTCCAGTGTCCTAGTCCTGTTCCTGTCGCTGTCTCAGAGTCCCAAAGGCGGGAGGGCTGTTGCAGCAAATTGACATAATTTGTGATATGCGCCTCCGTCGCCGCCTCCGCCATCTCGTCAGCGAGTCCTTCGCTTGTTCCTGCTCCTGCTCACCCTTCGTATCCTTTTTCCTTTCCAGCTCCATCATCCTGCCGCTCGTCAGCGTCAACGTCGCGCAAGCGTAAGTGTGTAATGAGTGATTTGCCCGTGGGGCTCACTGGGGAATTGAGTAGAAGGAGGGATGACTGGGAGCACCGATTTCGTCCCATCCACAGACCACGGAATCAGGCAGCCAAAACCAACTGCCTGGATTTTGGACAAAGTGGCGCGTGCTGCGGCTTAGGTGGCAAGCTGCTTCTGAGGTCACCGGATTGGGCTGCCACAAGCGGCAACAGTTCAGTTCGGATAGACAAATGTCACTCCATCCAGTCGCGTGTGTGCCGTCGGGTAAATATGTGCCAGAGTTCGTGCAGGCGGCAAAATAGGTCAATTTGGGATTATTAGTGCAAATCGAAGGAGAAACTATTTTTGGGAAATTGATTTCGGAGACTGTGAACACTGTAATCCGTTCGTGATTTTCAAGATTAGGTTACTGCCTCTTGTTTTGTTTGTCAAATGAAATTAATTTGATTAATCACCAGACACTTAAAGAAATTGATTTATTCGATGGGTATTATCCTTAAGAAGATAATACTTTTAAGACACTATTAATTATTATTAGAATAATTTTTAATTTGTGTTTATGTTAAACTTATAATCAGCTTAATAACGTTTATGCAATTTAATCTTGTATTTTATGATAGCTTGTCAATTAAATTTTCTAAACTTTGCATGTATAAAAACTTTGCAATGAAAGAAAGCTTAAGTGGGCTTTAAACAAGTTCAGTAAAGTCTTGTCGCTCTGCCATTTGCATCAATAGCCCTCCCGTATTTTCCTTTGTTTGATATCAATAAAAAGTGATATTCAAGCATGTAACCTTTACCTACATTAACGACATTTTCGCACACATGCACAGGGGAAACACCAGAGCAAACATCTTAACAAGGGAATGGGAATTTCCTGCTGATTTCCGTTGGTTCCTATATGCTACGGCAACGTTTTTTCTGCGTTACCCAGTGTCATTTCACTTTTTATGCTGGCTAAAGTAGAAAACAAACACAAATTTCATTTTGCTGCACGCCCCGCATTCCCTTCGTCGCTTTTTATATTTTTTTGTTATGAAAATTGCCAACAGCTAGGCAACACATACTTAGCACGCACCAGGGCAAACACACAGACACCCAGATGCGGATGCAAAGAGTGGATAGATGGCACATACTGACTACGGCACGTCGTTCGGCGCACTTGGGCTATGCACATAGTATTTATATTTATATAGAAAAGTCGCCGTTCCCATCCCGCTCGCCCTATATAAACGAAAGAAGCTGTGAAACTTATGCAAATTGCATTTCAGTGTCTGCGCAAAAGCTCGACACAAAACACAGCGTGGCGAGAGGAGCTCGAGGAGCACAGGGAGCAGGAGCAGCGGCACAGCGCCTAAAAGTATGCAATGCTAACGCGCCTTGCTCCAAAAAGTTGTAGAAAATGCGCATAATGAAATCCATGGCTACGGCAGCATCTTCGATGCACTTGGAAAAATACTGAACTACAATTTGAGTGGGAAAATCCATTTATTTTATTAAAATAATGCTTAAGTTCCCGAAAGACCCAAAAGTCGATACTTAGTGCATACTTTTAGGCACCTTTATACACAAAATAATTAGTAATTCTTGTGGCATGAATTTTGTTAAATAATAATATTATGAAGGCTTAAATTGGTTGTCAAACTAAAGGCGAAACCATTTTATATATGTATGCCTTCTCAAACTCTTATTAATTTCAATAATTTTGAAACTCCCTTTATTTCAGTGTCGGACCACGGCAGCTTCTTAGCTTGACTTGACTCGGGCTGCTTGCCTTTTTCCACGTTCCACTTTCGCGGCAACGCTTTTGCTGCGCTTTGGCTTATACGTCTTCCTCTTCTTATTTTCGCTGGCGGTGTGTGTGTGCTTGAGTGTGTGCTCGGTGTTGTTGTTTAAG